ACATTAGGAAATAGACCAGGGAAAGCACCTGACACAGGGTTTAGGAACAGTGGCAGCTTTGGTGCCCTGGTCCACCCCTGGTTCGAGGGCAGATCTCTCTAGAAGGAATGGTGTTCAAATGGAGCTCTGCTCTTGAGATGTCAGTGCAAGAAATTCCTATGAAATTAGGGCCAGAGAAAGAGTAAAGAACTGAGTAAGGCTGGGGGGAGGGGGTGCTGGAGTGATAGCACAGTGGGTAGGGTGTTTGCATCGCGACCGACCCAGGTTCGATTCCCAGCATCCCATATGGTCCCCAGAGCACTGCCAGTAGTAATTCCTGAGTGCAGAGCCAGGAGTAACCCCTGAGCATCGCTGGGTGTGACCCAAAAAGCAAAAAACAAAAACAAACAAAAAAAAAACCAGCATGGGCTGGAGCATGTACAGTGGGGAGGGCATGTGCCTTCCACCCAGCTCACCCAGGTTTGATCCCCCAGAATCCCATATGGTCCCCCAAGCCCACCAGGAAGGACCCCTGAGTGTAGAGCCAGGAGCAAGCCCTGATCACCACCAGATGTGGCCCCAAAAACCAAAAGAATTACTAAATAAAGGTAACTGGGCACATGTTTTGCATGCAAGAAGCCTGGGTTCCGCCCCTGACTACACAGGTGCTGCTGGGAGAGGCCCCTGCACACCGCCAGGTGCGGCTCATGCTGCCTCCCCCTCCCCACATTAGTGCGGAAGTCATCCTGACCCCAGGGAAAACACGTCACACTCCTCTGCTGGGCAAGAACCAGGCTGGCTCACGGCTGCAGCCCTCTGAGTTCTCATGATGGTTGTGTCTGAGACACGGTGAGGAGGCGGGAGACATGTTCATCCCCGACACTTAGACAGCCACTGGTTGGGAGCAGGATCTCAAGCAGTGATTGTTAGGACAGGGAAAGGCTCTCGCCAGGGGCCCGAGCCCACATGTAAACACTCCTAGGCACATCCGTAAACATGAGGTATGTCTTTGCATATCCAGACACATGTGCATGAATGGTCACAGTAAATACAGGTGATGTCAGGGTCTCGGAACTAGTGAAATTCTCACCTGACTGCCACAATTTCTATCTGAACCCCAGACTTGGGCTCCAGTTTCTACTCCGTGAGGGCAGATGTCACTAGGTCCACTCATAGGCTGAGCACCCAGGAAAATGGCCAAGCCCGAATGGTCAGCCAGTTTCTGAAAACACTCAGGCCTGAGGGCAGCCTGAGATGTCAGTACAAGACCCTTCCCATCTTCCACAGGCCTCCTCAGCAGGGTCGTGATGGTCCCGGCAGCTTTTTGCCCCTCTGGGCCCAAGTTTTTCTCAGGCCCACCATATCCTTCTGGTGACTTGAGGGACCTCAGCAGAGACACCAGATCAATTGCCTTCCCTCAGGGAACACCTGTCCAGGACACACTTCCCAGATCAACCTGTCCACCCCCAGGAAAGCTCTCCCGGAAGCCAAGAGTCCACATGCTTATTGTCTGCTCTGACCCAAAGGCCTTGTCCTTTGGAGTCTTCCCCTCTGTTGTTGCCCAAGTATTTCACAAACCCGCCGTCTGCCAACCCCAGGTCATTCCCTCCCAGCTCCCACATGTCCTTTTCCAGGTGACAAGCCACTCGCTCCGTTCGATGTGTGACCACAAAGTGCCTACAGGAATTTCCCCTGCTGGGAATGCCCAGGGTCATCCCTCTCGAGACCTGGCGGGTAACGCGATAGTCCCACGGGGCCCTGGCAGCAGGGAATCTGGCATGAGTGTCAGCCATGAAGGAAGCAGGTAACATGTTTTCCAGATACATGCAAGATTGCAGTAGGCCTCTCTGACTTCTCTAATAGCTGGGAAAAGAAAATTGACTAAATACAAGAGAAAATCCCCCGTGAACAGCAAATCAAGCATACAAAGGTTTATTTTCTTTTAATAAGATGGGAGAAATGTAATGTACTGTAATTAACATGGATATAATATGTTCAATTCCCTGCCCGCCCTTCCTATCACACATTTTTTGTGTGCAATATACCAATTTTGGTTTGCCATAAACCTTGAAAAATATTTTTTAAAAAAATGAGGTGGAGAACTCAATGACAAGAGCTGGTTTTGACAGTTCTGTGAAGCTCTCTCCAACACTGGCCTGTGGGCTGACAGATTCAGAGGCTGCCAGAGCTCCAGCCATTAGACCCATGATTCCAGCAGCAGACTGCCCAGAAGTTGCATACAGTACATAGTTGAGGATGTGACCATTGAGTAGAATTTGGTTATTTATACACACATAGCTGGCAATGGAGATAGATGCAGCCTTTGAGAATACAGCATGTGGGGCCTTTTATAAAACTATTGGCCAGATCGCTTCAGAGTTGATGGTCTTAGATTTCAAAAAACTATAAAGAAACATATGATGACTGATTGTACAAGTCACTTTTAGGACGATGGGGGGAATTGGAATCTCTATTGAGTGCTAGATAGTAGAAAATCAGGTCTGATCATAGAATAATGGCATCACAGAAACCTGTTCTCATTTTTAGAAGACGGAGGTGGTGAGATACTGAATAATGAAGTGTCCTAACATTTACCTCTTCCTTCAAAGTGATTCATCCGAATAGTAGGAATAGGCAGAAAGACTGGTATAGAAAACCTGAAAAAGCGCGTCGGAATTACTGAGTCAAGGTGGGCTTTGGAAATCTCTTGTTATTCCTTGAGCTTCTCTGTATGTTTGAATTTCCCATGAGAAAGATTGGAGGAGGGCGGGGATATGGCTCAGAGAGGAAGCTGGAGTGGACTTTTATTTGTTTCCTATTGTTATGGTAACCACAGCACAAACTTAATGGGTCAACAGAGTTTGGTTGTAAGCCTCCTTACTAGCTGCAGTTCCTGGTTCTCTGAGCCTCAAGGGCTGCTGCAGTGCCTGGAGAGGACATGGAGGGTGCTGACAGTCTGATTAGATGGTGGTATTGTCAGGCAGCTGAATAGACTTGTCTCTACCTACACTCAGATTTGGAATCACGGGAGCAATAGCACAGCGGTAGGGCGTTTGCCTTACAAGCAGCGAACATGGCCGACCCGAGTTCGATTCCTCCGCCCCTCTCGGAGAGCCCGGCAAGCTACTGAGAGTATCTCGCCTGCCTGGAAAGCTACCTGTGACGTATTCGATATGCCAAACACAGTAACAAGTCTCACGATGGAGATGTTACTGGGCCTGCTCGAGCAAATCGATGAACAGCGGGAGAACCGTGACCGTGACCGTGATTCAGTTCATTCTCCATACTCCAGCAGCGCCCCTTCTCCTGAGAGGGTCCCCCCAGAGCCCCCAGTCAGTGCCCCAGACCACAGATAACACTCAGCTGTCTAGGGCCAGTCCTTGAATAATGTCATTTCCTTCCAGGTTGTTTCATTACAAGGGGCATGAGAACAAAAATCAATCCCCAGCCGGGGGCCACTACCTGTGACTCTGCAGGCGTTGCCTGTCTATGGTCAGGCCTCTCACATCTCAAAGATGGGGTACATCAAATATGGGGTTAGGCTCACTGCGTGACCCCTGCATTGGTATATCCCTGTGTGAGCAGGGCACATGCCCCCAGATGGGGGTGCAGCTTGTCCACAGTGGGTGCCTCTCGGGCCCAAGCTGATAGTACCTGCCCTGACCATGCCCGGCAGGCTGGATCAGCCGCCAAGAGCTGCTCCCTGTTAGATTTTAGACAGCTGGGGCTTTATTCAAGTCTAGAGATGCTTTGGCAACCAGAAAAAGGCTGCAGGCACTAACTTGGTTTCTTTGTAATTCCCATTTCCAGAAATTGTTCCCAGAGTTGAAGACCTGGTCTGACTGTGTGCAGTCTGGCTACAGTAACTGTGGGATGCAGAATGCTCTGGAGGGGAAAGGCAGGGTTCCGCTTGCAACATGCAGCCAGATGAAACAGTAGCCTTAGATATCATAGCTACACTCTAAAAATGTCCAGGAAAACCTGGAGTGGTACAAAATTTAACTGTGATTACTGAGGAAATGGGATTGGTTGGGGGAATAAGAAGAGACAGAACACGCATCTGGGGAGCTGTGTTGTAAGAGTAGGTACTGTTGGGCTTGAGAGATAGTACAGTAGGGAGGGCATTTGCCGGGCACTTAACCAACCGGGTTAGAGTCCCAGCACCCAGTATAGTCCCCTGAGCCCACCAGACATGGACCCCAAACAAACACGGAGTAGGTATTGTTTTCTCAATAAAACCAAACCAGGAAAACCTTCTGCGGAAAGATGTAGTGACTGGCCCGTGGCTCTGTGGCTGAGGCAGAGCTCAGAGTCACCTCGGGCACTGTTCAGCTGCCCAGGGGTCCCTGCTGCTAGGCGGCGTGAGCCCCACCACTCAAGGGTGCAACCCTGGGCTGCACAGCCACCAGTAAGTGCACGAGCCCTCACGCAAGAGTGCAATGCCCGGCACACCTGCAGAAGCACCAGGAGCCACGGCCCCTGGAACACTGTGCCAGAGGAGCACCCACAGAGCGCACCAGAGCTAACTGCGCAAGGGCAAGGCCAGGTATGTGTGACATCACAGCAATAGAGGGGCTGGGAAGGGGCGGAAACAGGCCCATCTGTGGCAGGAAAAGCGTCCGCGGGGGAAGGAAGGTCACATGGCAGCAGAGGGGCCAGAGTGGCCTGGCTGCCTTGAACACCATGGGCGCTAAAACACCCAAATCCCAGACAGTAAAGCTAGAGAAAGGGGCAGCAAACACATGCCCTGTGATGGGCTCAGCTGGAGCTCCCGAAAGTCGAACAGTGGCATCCTAAGCCCCAGCTTCCAAATGAAACCAGATCCAGAGGCCACAGGAAGGCCCCTGAGGCTGGTGTTCTTGGGCCACACCCAGTGCTGCTCAGGGTTGCTCCCAGCTCAGTGCTCAGGAGCCACTCCCAGCAGTGCTCCTGGGTTCGGATCACCAGGATCGGGCTCTGGGCCTGCATGTGCTCCGGCCTACTGGGCTCCTCGCCCAGCCTACACCGGCACCACACACACGCAAAGACAACGTGAGGACGCGGAAAGGGCAGCCAGCCTCGAGCCCTGTTCTTGCACCTCTGGTTCATGTTTGAACTATGTCCAAAATACAATTCAAAATAAACAGAGCTGGAGAGAATGCGAGAGACGTTACGGGAAGTGCACCACGGACCCTACACAGAGGCCAGAACACTGCAGCCTTGGGACCAAGGTGGCCTCCGGGACGTGCTGGGACGAAATCCAGGCGGTAAGTGGCTTTATTTTCCCCACAAACAGCCAAGGTTCTCGTGACCGCCAAGGAGAGATGGCAATGCAGCGACGGGGCAGGCCGCGTGGGCATCCGATGGCTTCCTGCCATAAGGGGCTCTCGGGTTCTTCTCACGCTCACTCACAGTGGTTCCCCTGCCTTAGGAGAAGGTTCCGGAGCAGGCCTCCACCTCCCAGGCCTCACCTCCGGTGATCAGCTCCGATGGCATCTGTGACTCGGGCAAAACCTTGCTCCCTGTGAAGAGCAAGCACAGCAGGAGCTGAAGGAGACCTGCCAGAACCCAGGCCCCCCATGCAGACAGCTGCAAGTGTGTGGCCCAGATCAGGGGACGCTGTTGCCACACCACTGCCTCAGAAGGGAGCCCTGAATTCCTGACCCTTTCTCGGGGGAGCCACAAAGTAACCCCCACCCCAATTTGGCACCTACCCTGAAGTCTGTCTGGAATGACGACTAGAGATAGATGAACAGCAAGTCCTGGATATGGCTCCTGAGAGCGCCAACAACAACAACACACACACACACACACAACCCAACTCTACTGAGAGAACCGACTCCACACAGACCCCAAATCTACTGAGAAAACCAACTTCACACACATACGCCCCAACTCTACTGAACCAACTCCACACACACACCCCAACTCTACTGAGAGAACCAACTCCACACACACACACACACACACACACACACGTACCCCAACTCTACTGAGAGAACCAACTACACACACACACACACACACACACACACACCCCAACTCTACTGAGAACCAGCTCCACACGCACGCAGGCATACACGCAGGCACTAGCACCCGCACACTGCCCCTTCGCAGCCCAGCCCCACTCACCTCAGCAGGGCCTCCAGCTCCCGCTTGACCCTGCCCACCACGGGCGGGCCCTGGTAGGTGAGGGCCGTGTACAGCTGAACCAGGGAGGCACCCGCACGGATCTTCTCCAGTGCATCCTGCCCGCTGCTCACGCCGCCCACCCCGATGATGGGGACTCTGCCTGCAGAGACGCACGGGGCCCCGTAAGTGGGGACGACCCCCGCCCGGGCCCAGCACCCCCGGAGCCCAAGCACGCACGGAGTTGCAGGAAGGGCGCGGGCTCTTGCCTTGCGTGAGCGTGTACATCTCCCGGATGGTCTGCGTGGACAGATCCCGGAGCGGTTGCCCACTCAGCCCTCCAGTTTCGGAGCGCAGGGCGCCCTGCAGGCTGGCGGGGCGGCTCACTGTGGTGTTGGTGACGATCAGCCCGTCGATGCCCAGCTGCAGCGAGAGACAGAGGAAGAACCTCGGGTCAGGAGCCCACAGCCCGAGGCAGGAACTGTCCCTGCCCTCCTGGCATGACGGTGGTCACAAACCCATGGCCTGTGACGCTCTGAGGACAGCCTGGGTGGGTTGGGACAGTCCTGGGCCGGGACAGCTGGGGTCAGTCTCTGCAGTCCTCTCCTCGGCACAGGCCCCAGGCCCAAGCTAGAGAGACAGCCCCAGTCTGAAAAAGACGCTCCCTCTTTGGGTTCATGGGGCTTGGTTTTTGGGTCACACCCAGCAGTGCTCAGGATGACTCTAGGCAGTGCTGGGTGCCTGGGGGAACACTCAGTGCCAGGGATGGAACCCGAAGTTCCCGCATGCCAAGCAGGTACCGATGGCCCCTCTTGACTGACATCACAACAGTAAACAAACCAGTCCCCAAGGTCACGGGAGGGGGCACGAGGGCAGCCACCAGCAGCCTCTCCAGATGAGCGGGCCGAGTCATACCTCTCTCACCACACTGGCGATATCCTCCTTGTCCCGGGCCGAGAGGTCGGGCGCGATCTTCACTAGCACCGCTGGCTTGTGTGCCCGCTTCAAGGCCTCTCTCTCCTGCAGCACCTGAATGGAGGCCACAGAGGCAGAGGGCTAACCTGAGCAGCCTCCCACGGTGGTCAGAGCCATGACCTGAGCCACCAAACCTGTGTATCCAGTGAAAGCCCGAGCAAGAAGCGCAGTCTTGGCAATGCTAGAGATTCCATCAAGGGGCTAGAGCAGCAGTACGGCGGGGAGGGCACTCACCTTGCACGGGCCTGGTAAGGCTTGTTCCCCAGCACCCCATATGGTCTCCTGAGCCCCACCAGGAGTAATTCCTACGTGCAGAGCCAGGAGTAACTCTGAGTACCACCGGTGGCCCCAAAGCAAACAAATGAAAAAGATTCCATCAAGAGGGAGCTGAGTCCATTCTCTAAATCAAGGGATGGGGCTGAGGTGATAGTCCAGCAGGGAAGGTGTTTTGCCTTGCACGCAGCCGATCTGGGTTTGACCCCCAGCATCCCACATGGTCCCCTGAGCATCATCAGGAGTAATTCCTGAGTGCAGAGCCAGGAGTAAGCCCTGAGCATTGTCAGGAGTGACCAAAAAAAAAAAAAAAGAGGCAGGGTGGGATGGGGGGGATGGGGAGGTGGGGATGGGAGGGATACTGGGATCAGTAGTGGTGAAGAATGGGCACTGGTGGAGGGATGGGTGTTCAATCATTGCATAACTGAAACCCAAGCACAAAAATTTGTAAGCCTACAACTGTACCTCATGGTGTTTCACTAATAAAAATCTGAAAAAAAAAGAAGAAGAAGAAGAAGAAGAAATCAAGGGATCCCCAGTCTGAATCTCTAATGCCACCACTGGCTAACAGAGTTTGATTTATACTTCTTTTCCTCTTTCATTTTAAGGCAACATCCAGTGGCACTAGAAGCAGCTCTTGGCTTGGGGCTTTGGGGTGACACCTGGTGTGCTCAGGGGAACTTGCAGTGTCAGGGACTGAGTTAGGATTCCTGCATGCAGAGCCTGTATTCAGCCCTGGGAGCCACCTCTCCAGCCTCCATTCAGACCTCTGGTCTCTCTTTTTTTTTGCAGTGCTGGGGATTAAACCCAGAACCTTATATATGCAAGGTAAGATGCTCCACTACTGAGCTATATCACTGGTCCTAGACCTTTGTTCATATATATATATATATGTTGTTTGATGAAAAGTCATTCTATGCATTCATTCACAGCACTAGAATCTGGGGCTGGAGCAGCAGAGACCAGAGCCCTTTCCTCATGGGCTTTGAGAGCTAACAGCAGGGCAGATAAAAGAGCTGTTAATCACCTGAGAGATAATCACTGCTGTGACAGGGATTAAAGGCACAGCAAGGCGTCCTAACTGATCTAGACATCAATAGTGACACTGGGGCTGAATGATCAGGCTGAACTGAAAGCCTAGGACCGGCCGCAGGGGAGGGTGGTGATGCAGTTACCCACCTTGGTCAGCAGGCGGCGCAGCTCGCCTTTTCCCTGGAGACTCCGCAGCCCTGCGGTGTTAGGACTGGACACGTTCACCACCAGGTAGTCGGCCAAGTGGCCCAGGACCCGGACCCCTTCTGCGTAGTCCGAGGCAGCATCCTCTGAGGTTTTATTCTTCCCCAGGTTTATCCCCAGCGGCAGCCCATCTGTCAATATACAAAATGCTATCCCCACACACCATGTCCTAGGCAACATTTTAGGGGGTTGTTTTTGGGCCACGCCTCGCTGTGCTCAGGGGCCATATGGAGTGCCGGGGACCGGACCATGGGTGGCCACACGCACGGCCACCAGGCCACCCCCTGTGCAACACTGTGAGTCTATCTTTGACTAAACAACCCTCAGTCTTCCCTTCCATCAGCCCACTTACCTGCACCAGCTCTAACACCTCTCTGGGCTAGGACATGCTCCCACCCGCGTCCGCAAACGCCGTGGCAGCAAACACCAGGGAGTTCTACTGTGCTCTGCCCCTTTCCTCCTTTTGATTTAGTTCGAACAGAGAAACCAGTGCAAATGCCATGCTCAGTGCTGGTTCCACCAAAGCCTGACTTGCAGATGAGGCCCAGCTTCGACCTGTCCAGGCCCCGTCCTGACATGAACCCCATAACCACAGCCTTCACTCAACTCACGAACTCTAAGGAGACTAAAAGTGAGATGGCTGGAAGGAGGTTCTAGAAGAATCCACGAAAGAAATGACCACATCCCCGCACAAGCCCAGAGGGTGCCTGGGAAGGTTCGGTGAGGACAACACAGGCTGCCAACAGCCAGAATAAGCAGCTCATGGACCAGGGCCACCCTGCGGCAGCACAGGTGCCTGAATGTCTGGACAAGCCCAAGAGAATGCCCGGGCATTGGGAGTGGTTCTCCCTTGTTCATGAGCCGGCTGCGGCATTTTAACCATCTTTCCTGAGTTAACAAATAAAACTCTTCTCTAGTCAACCAGCATTGTGGTCGTAATGGACAGAGTGGGATGCAGTTAGGGGGTGCTCAGGCACAGCCCCCGTCACAGGCTCACTTCCAGCTGTCTCAGCAAGACTAGAACATGGGTCACAAGGCAGAATCAGAGTGTCTGTGCTAACGTGTGCAACACAGGGGGCCGGAGCAATGTACAGCTGGGAGGGTTTTGCCCACAGTAGACTTGGGTTCAATCCCCAGCATCCCATATAGTCCCCTGAGCACCACCAGGAGTAATTCCTGAGTGCAGAGCAGGGGATGCATTGCCAGGCATGGCCCAAATAAAGTGTGCCACTCAGTCACAGTTCTGGAGGTGGTGTGGAACTCAGAACCCCTCCGGGAACAGGGCCTGTTGCTGCCACATTTGCAGCCAACAGATGAAGAAAGCCCCCCACTGCGGCCGCACCTCACCTTCCGTGAGCCTGGCCTGCTGCTGCTGCCTGGCACGTAGCCTGCGCTCCACCACCTCAAGGCCATGGCTGTTAAATCCATACCTGCAGAGAACACGCAAGGAAGAGACAAGTTACAGCCTCGGGGGAGAGCTAAGACTCTGCAAAGATGTTCCACGGCCATGTCCACTGCACGCTCGCAACTTTTAGAACAGGAAGGAGGGACTGGAGAGAGAGTATGGGGCTTAAGATACTTGCCAGTTCCATGCCTGGCACCACATAGGGTTCCCTGAGAACTGCCTGGAGCAATCTCCTAGTACAGAGCTGGGAGTAGCCCCGAAGCACCAGATGATGTGACCCAATAACACCCCCCCCCATTAAATAAAAACATCAAACATTTTTAAAAAAATGAACAGTTCTGAGCCTTTCAAGGTTTAAACGTCCTGGGGGCTTTTGGAGATTCTGAAAGATTCTAATTTGCAAACACTGAAATTTACAGAAAAGCTGCTCAGCTCAGAAAATGGCCAAGACTTGATCCTGCAGCTGCCCCAGCCCTGCCCTGCCCAGCTGTAGCACCCAATGATCTGCCCTCTCCCACCCAAGGGGGTCCTTGCCACCCCATTACCCATCTCCCACCTCCTGCCTGTGCTCCATGCACACCCACCTGGCCCTGTTGCGCCACTCTACAGCTGCACCCTTAGACCCGCCCCAGCCCGGAGCCAGACAAAACACTTCAGCCTCCAGGGGCACCGACCCCTGGCCCTCCCGTGAGCCTGGCCCGCTTCTGGCACCGGGCACTCTTGTGCACTCTGGTCCCTGCTGGTTCTTCTCCAGCCCCCAGCCTGTCATCTCCCTGACCCCCACCCGGGGTGATTATCCACATGGCCAGCACCCCCCGCTGCGGGAGGACAGGCCCGGGGCTCCTTTCCCAGACTCACCAGCAGCTCCAGTATGAACAGGGGACCCAAGGGGACCCACCCCCACCCCAGGCTTCCTTTCCCCTTCCAACCTCTGCACACCACACGCATGGACTACAGCCAGGAGCTGAGCAGCCCCAAGAAGGTGGGCGCCCTGCTGCCCCAGCGCTCCAGGGCTCCCCTATCTCCCTAGAGAAGAAACCAACTGCGGCAAATGCCAACAAGAAGCCACCTTGTGACCAGCAGCCAAAGAACTGAATGGATACAGCAACTGTTGCATCTGTCAACTGCGAGAACCGAGCTCAAAGTACCTTGTGGCTCCCATGCACCAATGGGAATAGCCCTGGAGGCCCCTAAGCACCAGTTGTGTATCCTTGGGCCCGAACATTCAACCACAGTCCAACAGCCCAGGATCACCAGGACTGGCCCTCAGATGCCCTGCCTGGGGGTTCCCTCCACCTCCCCTGCAAAAAAATAAATAAATAAAATAATAAAAATCACACTTTGGCACTCAGTACTGAGCAGCCACCAGGTGCCACTCGGGAGCTGGCCCGGCTCTCCCGCTCTCTTCATGTGCCACCTGCTCTCCGGGGCCTTCGTCCCCGCAGTGCCTGGTGCTGGCTGGATCACACACCTATGCTGCCCGGATGGATATTCTCAAGATACGGACTCTAGCCTGCAGTGCTGCAGAAAGATCCAGAACCCCATCCTGGAAGCTGGAACATTTCCCTGACCCCCACACAGCGAACGGGCGAGGCAGACACAGCAGCTCCCACCAGCTATCTCCCTGAAGCCACCGCCAAGAACAAGGATGTGCCTCAAAGCTTCCCACAGGGGCTCAGTGAACCTCTGTTACCAAAATGTGGGAAGGTGGGGCTGGAGAAGTCGTACAGCGGATTGGGCTTTAGCCTTGCACACAGCAGACCCGCCTCATTCCATAGGGTGCCCCAAGCACCACCAGGAGTACAGAGCTGGGAGTAACCCTTAAGCACTGCCAGATGGAAACGTCAGGCTGAAATAATAGTACAGTGGGTGAGGCACTTGCCATGCAAGTGGCAGACCTAGGTTTGATTCCTGGCACCCCACGTGGTCCTCTGAGCCTGCCAAGAGTGATCCCGGGGCACACATCACCAGGAGTGACTCAACCCCCCCCCAAAAAAAAAGTGGGAACATCTTTATTTTCTCTAGGGTTTATCCAAGGATAACAAAGACAAGGGCATCTCTCACTGAAAGTCGCCACGTTCCTTGGCATCATCCATTCTGCTATGGGCTGGAGCCCAGCCAACCACACAGGCGCTGCTAGGAAGTGGGGCTCCCACACCCCAGCCAGCCGAGGGGGCCATAAGCCCAATGGATACAAGTCCAACAAGGCAAACAATTCATTTCAATGTCAATCATACAGCATTTTTTTTTGCTGTTTTTGGGGGTCACACCCGGCGATGCACAGGGGTTACTCATGCATGGCACTGTACTCAGGAATTACCCCTGGCAGTGCTCAGGGGACCATATGGGATACTGGGAATAGAACCCAAGTTGGCTGAGTGCAAGGCAAACGCCCTACCCATTGTGCTGTTGCTCCAGCCCGATCATACAGTATTTTAAAACAGTATTTAGAACATACAGGGATTTATGTTAAGCAGTATAGTAATGATTTCACTTATTTTGACTTTTTTTTTAAAGTGGCCACTGGGAGATTTGAAATCACACACACGAGTGGCAGGGCTGCCATCCCATTCCTCCCGGACAGCACTGAACTCGGGCACTTGGAGGCCTAGCTTGGACAGTCAGACAAGCCTTTCCTGAGCTCCAGGTCATTGAGTGCTGCAGTAGAGTCACGCTCAAAGCCAGAGCACCAGCCCGGCAGAGCCCACTGGGGTTCCAGGCAAATGTTCACAAGCAGAAAAGCGGGTCACCCTGAAGTCCCGGGATGTCCTGCAGGAAGAAGCAACCCGGCCCCATTCACCTACCTGTTAATCACGGCCTGGTCCTCGGGGAGGCGAAAGACTCTGGGCTTGGGGTTTCCTTCCTGAGGTTTGGGGGTAACACTTCCTATCTCCACGAAGCCAAAGCCCATCTTATAAAGCCCATCCACGGCTTCCCCGTGCTTGTCAAATCCCGCAGCAATTCCTACCGGGTTTCGGAATTTATGGCCCAGGGTCCTCACTTCCTGCAGAGTCAGAGACAAAGAGGTACACAAGGCGAGGCTCTGCGTGTTTCAGGGGAGTGTGTGTGTGTGTGTGTGTGTGTGTGTGTGTCGGGGGCGGGGATTCCCAGGACCCCGGGAGCTTGTCAACTTTCACATTCCAGGCCTGAGAAAATGGAATCTCTGCAGAGGGCGAAGGTGGGCTGGGAGGAAGTGGTCTAGACCCTGATCTCACGCCCCGAAGTGATGTGCTTGTCAGTGGCAAGAGAGGGCATGGGTACACTTTCCAACTACACCAAGACTTGATCCTCTTTTGTTTTGTTTTTTGGGCAACCCCACAGTGCTCAGGGCACATGCTGGAGATGAAATCATGCTGGAACCCCCATGCACAGCCTGGGCTCCAGCTGCTGAGCTCTCTCTCCAACATCCATGGTACCCACCCCTAGACAGTACCACCCTGACACAGTGCCAGTCAGCTGAGTCTCCCAGCCGGAAAGTGCCAGAGAAGGAGACAGTGCTCAGCCAGGCAGGTCTCGGTGCTGGACACTCCTCCCTGTCAGACCCCCCCTCCATATGGATTCTTGTCACTCTGTCCCGCATCTAGCCACAGCTTACTTCCTGTCAGCCCCTGACCCGCCCCCAGCTCTGGACACGCTCCTGTCACACGGGGCTCCAGGACTTTCCACGGTGCTGCCAGGAAATTGCGGCTTTGGCTCCTGTGGTGCCCTCAGTGTCCACGGGCGATGGTTTGGGGCAGGACCCTTCGGCGGGACATGCACAGGAAGAGGAAAGCGCAGAGATGGTGCCTTCCACAAAGGGCCCCAGCCACATCATCCTGCTGTCCCCGGCCCTTCCAGAGTTCCCACGGAACCCTGTCTGCTGGGGAGGCCTTCATGAGGTTCCCATGAGCTGGGGTCCAGCAGGCACTTGGAATGGGGGCTGATTGAGGCAGAGATGTGGCCCTCCTGCCCTGCCCCACATCTGACGTGAAGACTCAAAGCTCCCGTTGGCTGGAAGCTGAGCAACAGTGGCCCCACCCGTGGCCTGCATCCTGGCGCGACCACTTCCTAGCTGTGTGCCTTTTCGTGAGTGACCCACGGCCCATACCTCAGTGTCCTGGTCTGAAGATGAGGAGGGCAGATTTTCAGCAGAGCTCAGTATATCCAAAGGCCCCGCCCGGGCCGAGCTCTCGCTGCCGCCCTCTTATCTGGCCCGCGGGGTTCTAAGAGCACCTACCAGTATGTCCGAGTCCTGGAAAGTGGATCGAGGCAGGAGCCCCAGAGCAGCGCAGCGCACGGCCAGCCTGTGTGCAGACTCGGGGTCCAGCAGCCCCTGCAGGGCTGGCATCAGGTGTTTGGCATAGAAATACTCATCTCCTGTGGCTGTCAGGTACGAGGCAAAGAGGAACCCACCGCCTCCCAGGATGACCACCGCGTCCAGGGCCCGTTGCTGGAAAGAACAATCACACAAACAGGGGTGCCCCTGCAGGCCAGGCTGCAGAACCCTGCTGAGTCCTTTACATCAGATGACATGTCATGACAAATGATGTCCTTGGCTTTCTGCGAACACTGGCCTCCTTCAATTCTAGTCCTGCTGGCACCCACAGCAGAGGTTTCAGAGGGACAGTACTGCCCCCTAGGGGGCAGGAGTAAGCACTGGGTACCACTAAGTGTAAGTAAAAACAAAAGGAAACACACACACACACAACTTCTGCCAGGCAGGTTTTCCTATATATAGGCTTTTCCAAGAAGACTGCCTAGTAAATTGAGGGAAAACTGTACTTTTTGGCACAGCATGTTACCAATCCCTCATGAAATATCGACTGAGTACTTAATTATGGGCTCATAGATCAAATTCCTGACTTCAAAGAGATTACAATTACATGAGGAGATAGAGACCAATGTCCATAAATACATAAAATGATTATTAGCTATGGAGAAAAATACAGGGTAATGGAAAAACACACTTAACCTCCGAGTACAGAAAGGAGTCCTTGAGGAAATGACAAACTGCTGTTCCAAGGATAAATAGGAGTTACCTGGGAGGCAGTGTAAGGAGGGAAAAGTGCAAAGGTTCTCTCCGTGAAGAGAATGAGAGATGCCCAAGAAATGGGGAAGGAAAAGGTTTGCATGGAATAGAGGGTCAATGTGGCTTAAAAACAGCTGGGGTGACAGGCAGGGGATTTTGCCGGGGATGTGGGGAGGTTTGGGGTTTGAACCATAAAAGAGGAGGTGAGGCGAGCAGAAATGCCTTTACAGACCCTAGCGGTTAGGGCTGATCAAGTTTTCCCTGTCTTGCTTCTGCTCTCCTCGGGATCTGGGAACGCATACTATTCAACATATAGTTGGGCACCGTTCGGGTCCCCGCCCCTAAAACTGTATCTCGATGTACTGAAATCAAGTCTAGTAATTTCATAACACACTGGTCCGTGCACAGAGGTGCACGCACGGTGCAAGTGTTCCAAGAGTTCCAAGAGCAAAAGCGCCCCAGTGCGGGGCTGTCTGGTTCACGTGCGCTGACACAGATCAGCATCTACAAAAGTGAGCCCTTTAAAAGCAGTGACCCAGTGCACGAGTGCACGTGCACAGGCACACGCGTGATGTGGCCGCCAGCCCGGTAGCCCGGGTCTCGCCCCTTGCCGCCCCCAAGGCCACTCTGGCTAGACTCACTTTCAGATGTCTCCACGCCATGCTCCTTCCGCCATTCGGCCCGCCCCGGTCGCATCTCCATTGGAGAAGCTAGTGGCAGTCCCTCCAATCCCGTTCCCAGGATTTCACCAGCCACCAATCGTTAGGCGGGGAGGGCGGGGCACACCTGGCACCGCGGGAAGGCTCCGCCCCGCCCCCAGGTCCTGGTTGGTCACTGGGACGCACGCGCAGTCGCGCTGGCCCCGCCTCTTCCGCCGGCCCGACCTTCTGCGCCCGGCTAGGGTCTGGTAGGCGCTTGCTACCCAGAGCGCGCCCGGAGTCCCGGGAGAACGTCTGGTTGTGTTCCATTCTAAGCAAGCACTCTCCTCGGTTGTGTCTTTTCAATCATTGAAGCGTTTTGTTGGTGATGGGCTTGGGCTCCACACAAACGCCTGTGCTGGGCACGTACGTGTTCAACGATGTGTAAAGGGTTGAAAACAGCAGTAAACTGACTTTTTCTAAAGATGCCACCGTCAGATTTCACTTTTAAGTACCTGACCACCGTCAGATTTCACTTTTAAGTTCTGGAGCTGCGTGTGTGTGTGTGTGTGTGTGTGTGTGTGTGTGTGTGTGTGTGTGTGTGTTTGTGTGTTTTCTAAAGATGCCACCGTCAGATTTAAGTACCGGACCACCGTCAAATTTCACTTTTAAGTACCGGAGCTGCGTGTGTGTGTGTGTGTGTGTGTGTGTGTGTGTGTGTGTGTGTGTGTGTGTGTGTGTATGCATATTTATGAGGATGTTAGGGAATTCAGACTTAGTGAACTTTTAAAAAGATCACTTCAGGGGCCGGAGCAATTGTGCAGCGAGGTGGGGCGATTGCCTCGCACGCAGCTGACCGGGGTTCAACCCTCAGTATCCCCTATGGTCCCCCGAGCACTGCCGGGAGTGATTCCCGAGTGCAGAGTCGGAGGAGAGGGCGTTTGCCTTGCTTGTGGCCGACCCGGATTCTGTCGGGCATCCACAGACAGGTGGTCCCCCGAGCACCGCCAGGAGTAATAACCTGAGTGTTGCTGAGCTGAGTAACCCCTGATCGTCGCAGAGTGTGCCCCTCCCTCCCCCGCCCTCCACCTCCCACCCCCCAATAAAGAGTATCCTGCAGCTAAGAGGGAGAGGGAAAATCTTCCAGAGAAAATGCACTCAAGTTGCTCTCTTCCTGCACTCTGTTCTGGAGCCACTCCTGGCTGTGCTTATGGTTTATTTACTCCTGATTCTGTGATACTTGGAGGACGTAGGTGATGCTGGGGATAAAACCCGGACTGGCCACCTGTGAGGCAAGTGCCCTACCCATTTACTATCTCAGTCTCCTCTTTGGTACATCTACACAATGGAGTACTATGTAGCTGTTAGAAAAGATGAAGTCATGAAATTTACATACAAGTGGTACAATATGGAAAGTATCATGCTAAGCGAAATGAGTCAGAAAGAGAGGGATAGACATAGCAAGATTGCATTCATCTGGGGGATATAAAGTAACAAAGTATGAGATTAATACCCAAGAATAGCTGAGATCAGCACCAGGAGGATTACTCCATAACTTAGAGGCCAGCCGGGTATCCTAGAGGAAAGGGCAGTTCAGATAGAGAAGGGAGCACCAAATAAAGGATGTTTGGAGGATCCTCCCAGGAGGGGAGATGCATGTCGAAAGTAGACTATGGACTGAACATGTTTGCCACTCAATGCCTCTTTTGCAGACCACAACACCCAAAAGGAGAGAGAGAACACAGGGGATTGCCCTGCCACAGAGAGGGGGGGGGATATGGGCACTGGTGGAGGGATGGGTATCTGATCATTGTATAATCGAAACCCAAGCACAAAAAATTGTAAATCTACAACTGTAAAAAAAAAAGAAACAAACAAACAAAAAAAAAGAATGTGAACTCCATAGGGGGGAAAAAATGATAATAAATGGCTTTTCATAAGAAAAAAAAAAAAGAGTATTTTTCTAGCCTGTTTCCACTACTGCCCCCTACTCTCCCAGGCACACAGAGAATTTTTTCTCTAAAGACTTAACACTTTCGGGGCTGGAGAGATAGCACAGCGGGTAGGGCGTTAGCCTTGCACACGGCGGTTGCCTTGCACGCAGCGGACCCGGGTTCGATTCCCAGCATCCCATATGGTCCCCTGAGCACCGCCTGGAGTGGCTTCTGAGTGCAGAGCCAGGAGTAACCCCCTGTGCATCTCCAGGTGTGACCCAAAAAGAAAAAAAAAGACAACACTTTCTCACCACGTGTGTTTACTGTGAACCCCTCTGCCAGTATGCCCAGTTCATTTTCTAAACAGGACCATCCTTGTACGTTCAATGTGGAGATCATTAGCTGAACCCTCATAGATTTACCCTCTTCAATGGCTTTTTCTTCTCGGAGAGCCCGGCAAGCTACCGAGAGTATTCGATATGCCAGACACAGTAACAACAAAGTCTTCAATGGAGACGTTACTGGGCCTGCTCGAGCAAACCGACGATCAACGGGAGGGCCTTTACCTTTACCTTTACCTTTACCTTTACCTTTACCTTTACCTTTACCTTTACCTTTAATGGCTTTTTCTTTAATACATAGACCTACATGTTTTTCCTTCCCTGTGTAGACTTTTTACTTTTCCAGAGTAGGACCACACCACGTTTATCTTTCACTGGATTACTGCAATATTTTTCAGATTAGGGGATGTATTCATAAAATCTGCACTTAAAAATTTTTGTTTTAATGTCCCATCCATGGTGATTTTAGAGTTTTGTAAGTGTGATTCAAGACTATTTGGGGAACCAACTTAACCCTGAAATTTACCAAGTGATTTTTCAGTTCTCAGGTTTATTTGTATTCATGAACAAATCTTGACACAAAGAGAACTGGTTGAAACACATAAATGATGGATATGCTGCAGGTGAAAAATGAAGATCATGCTCTGTCAATAAAGCTTTTCCACAAATGAAAGGAAACCGGGCAGAGTATTGATTCTTCATTACACCGTGAAGTAACGTGCATGCCCAAATAAAAGGAACCTGGTGATAAGCAAGAGCCATGTTTACCTGCAGGCGGATATTTGGTTCAGCAAAATTTTAATTCACTTGTTTTCTGTGTTGTTTGTATTCCGTGTATATTCATTCTTTCATCAAATAGTCTTTGGTTTTATTGATTATGTAAGTTGAAGCCACCATCTTGGGATGGAGCTTATGCCTAATCCATTCTAGGGATTTGTAAAAAAAAAAAAAATTCTTTTAAAAAAAGAAAGTATGATTACTCAGTTTTTAGCAACCCTGACTTAACTATGTGTCACCCTCCAACTCCTTACAGCTTGGATCTGGTAAATAAAGGTCTTTTACAATGCCAAAGGCAAGTTGTGTAGACACAGAGGGTGTTGCCCCAGCTAGGAAAAAAAAAAAGCTTAAAGACCCAATTAGGCTTGATTCACTGTATTTGCTTTTGGTTTTTAACTTATAGGAACTGCACCTGGTTCCTTAAAATAAAAGGAAACAAAAGCTTTTGTCTCTGTGATCAATGATTCCCGACTCTAATAATAATATTGATAAATAAGACAAACCTACCTAGAATACATTTAAAAGATCCAACAGCTGCTGGCCTCACATTTCTCATGCTGACTGTTAGCAGACATGTTCCTCCGAGGAAGTCTCTGGCTTTGGTTGTCCCTCAGAGCAAGCGTCATTCTAGGATGGCAGCGACGGAACCCAGAGCCACGTGGCCAAAATAATTGTTATCAGCTCAACAGGTTTCACTGCAGCTTCGAAGAAGCAGAAAATTACTGTTACTCTCTGGGAGGGGAACTTGCTTACACTTGGAACCAGGAGGTTCAAGAACTCATCTGGGACTTTCTGGAAAAAGGGAAGAAGTGGTGGACTGGGCAGAATATAATGTTGCAGGAAAAACATCAAGAGAGAAAAAAAACAGGTAAGATTCTGGGCTTTAGTTTTTATGAAGGAAACTTTCTTCTGGGACAGAAGAAAGAAAGAAAAAATAAGTCTCTTGGGGCTTTATTTTTTCTTTCTCTCTTCTGTCCCAGAAGAAAAGAAGGTTTCCTTCATAAAAAATAAAGACCGGGGGCTGAAGCAACAGCACAGCCGGTAGGTCGTTTGCCTTGCACGCGGCCAACCCGGGTTCGATTCCCAGCATCCCATATGGTCCCCTGAGCACCGCCAGGGGTAACTCCTGAGTGCAGAGCCAGGAGTAGCCCCTGTGCATCGCCGGGTGTGACCCAAAAAGAAAAAAAAAAACAAAGACTGGTTTCTATTCATCATAAGCCCCTCTCCTGCTTTTCAAGACACAGACTGGATAGAGAGCTCCTTTCCTCGTGTGCCAGTGTGACTGTGTGACTGTGTTTGTTCCCCCTACTAGGCTGCAAGCCCACATTCAGCTTCAGCCTTGGAGAAAACTTCAAGGCGTTAGTGTGTCATCCTCTATTGACATCTAGGCAAATTAACACTACGCCTTTATAATAAAAGACACATACTCTGGGAGAAAAAAAAAAAAGAAAACCTAAGGGGGGCAGTGGGGGTCCACCCCAGCAACTGCCCCCACAGACACAATTATAATATACAGAGGGGAGTTCTAAATTTTTGTCTTTTGGAAGTTAGCAAAATGTGGCTTTCATATTCACTTTAAAGTCTGGATTGTGTGGCCGAATCTCACTGGGTCTGGTCTCTTGAACAGATGCCACGCACCAGGCCACCAAGCCCAACAGCTGCATTTACGTGTCCAGGACCTCCAGCGGGCTGTGGTCTCACAAGGACCTGTGCTCACAGAGGCATTACTTCATTTGCCAGACGGGTGAGTGCCAGGCCCTCATGCTGCCAGCGACTCCATTTTTAGAAACTGGTTCTGAATAAGGCGAGGGGACATGAGAAGACCAAAGGCAGCGAGGTTTTCCATTGCAGATTGCTTCCTTGGGAGGTGGAGCTCGAAATACACAGTGTGTGAGCGTGCTTGGGTTGTCTTTGTTTGTCACTGAACGTGGTGCTGATGACCTACAGCATTTTTTCTTATCTCAGTGAATTCTTGGAGACTTTAAAATATGTTGGATCGGGTCCAGAAAACTAGTACGTGGGGAAGACTCATGCCTTGCATGTGGCTGGCCTGGTTCAGTCTCCAGCACCACCTGGCCACCCAGTGACCACCAGCTGTGCCAGGGGGTGCGCCTGGAGGTCCTAGAGCACTGCTGGGGTGGCCCTGAGTAATCCCCTCCAGAACAGGGCCCACAAAGCACCACAACGTCAGGGCCACCGGAAAGGCAGCCATACCAGGAGTGACCTCTGTGCGCAAAGCCAGGAGTGGACCCTGAGCATCACAGGGTGTGTCCCTCCTGCCAAAACCCCCCAAAAATCCTGGGAAGGAACCCCTGGGCCTCCTGGGCACCACTTGAAAGGCCTCATCCACCCCCCAAGAAAGATACTGCAGTGGGATTGATAGCTCAAAGCACTGGAGCACATTCCTGCCACGCACAAGGCCTCAAGTCTGACCCCCCGCATCGTATGCACCCACCCGCCCACTCCAGCACAGCCAAGGAGCACCCTGGGGGCCCCCAGCACCTCTGGGTCCATATGCCGTGATATCTCCAGCCTAAGCTAGACCATCAGGACTGCATCACTAGGTTGAGTATTGATTGCGGGTGGGGGGTGGGGGGGAAGGTGTGCCCCTAGGAAGCCCCCGACAGACTGAGAAATAAAAGAATGTCATGTCCAGAGGACATTGGAAGGCTCTGCCCAGTACAAAATGTTCCTTCTTCCTTCTGTAGGTTTCACACAGCATCTATCAGAATCCTTAGCATTGTTTTTTTTTTTTTTTAATAGAGTCAAGATTCTCTAAAATCTATCTAACATTCGAGGAACTAGAATCATTCACTCACACAGGGGTTTCCTACCACCAGTTGCAGGCATGGAAAGGTGTAGAGCTCCTGGATGATCTGGGTGGTTTCTAACTGCTGGGTGCTGCCGGTGCAGGGTCTGGTGCTCAGGCATAAGAAGGTAGGAAGCAGTGCAGGGGCAAGGCCGGCTTGTGTTCCAGGTGGCCTGGAGACAGGCCTGCGAGCTGGGATCTGACTTGGCCTGAGACAATCCCGGTTTCTGCAGCTTCACCAACGGTGCCTGGCCGCAGGAGTGAGAGGTTTTCCAGGCAGACATTTGGTCTGTTTAAGAGTGGCACTTCTGTGGAGTTCATGCCCAATTCAATCAGCTAATCAGTGGCTGAATAAATAGCAGTACTCCTAAATAAATAAATAAATAAATAAATAAATAAATAAAAAGTAATGTGGAGTTCAAAAAAAAAAAAAGAGTGGCACTTCCCCAGCCCCACACGCTGGGGGAAAAGGCAGTTGGGATGGAGAAGGAACCACTAGGTAAATGATGATTGGAGACATAGCCCGGGATGGGAGATGCTTGCTGAAAGTACACCAAGGACCAAACACAATGCCCTCCTAGTATCTATATTGCAAATTATCATGTCTCAAATTAGAGAGAGAGTAAGAAGGATGGTACCTGCCACAGAGGCAGGGAGTGGGGTGGGGTGGGGGTGGCGGGTGGAACACTGGGAACAGTGGTGGTGGAAAATGTGCACTGGTGGAAGGATAGGTGCTCAAGCATTGTGTGACTGAAATGTAATCATCCAAGTTTGTTACTAGCTCACGGTGATCCAATAAAACTTCTTGAAAAAAAAAAAAAAGGAGGGACTGGAGCAATAGCACCAGCGGGTAGGGCGTTTGCCTTGCACACGGCCGGCCTAGGTTCGATTCCCAGCATCCCATATGGTTCCCTAAGCATAACCAGGAGTAATTCCTGAGTGAAGAGCCAGGAGTAACCCCTGTGCATCGCCAGGGGTGACCCAAAAAGCAAAAAAAAAAAAAAAAAAAGAGTGGCGTTTCCCAATGCCACCGTTATAGAAGACAAAGAGAAATCATGCTCAGAACGCAAGATTTTTCAGTAGACCTTATTTTGAGATGTTGGTGATACAATGGCTCCAGAGCAAAACTACTTCTTAGTGTCTAGGTGGCGGCTCTTTAAAGACAATGGAACAAAGGCATGATATAGTGGGGAGGGCAATGGCCTTGCATGTGACCAACTCAGGTTTAATCCCTGGAACTCCATATGGTCCCCTGAGTCCTGCCAGGAGTGAATTTTTTGTTTTTTGCTTTTTGGGTCTCACACCCAGCAATGCACAGGGGTTACTCCTGGCTCATGCACTCAGAAATTACTCCTGGCGGTGCTCGGGGGACCATATGGGATGCTGGGAATTGACCTTGGGTAGGACGCGTGCAAGGCAAACACCCTACCCACTGTGCTATTGCTCCAGCCCCCAGAAATGATTTTTGAGCACAGAGTCAGGAGTAAACCCTGAGCACCACCAGGTGTAGCCCCCAAACCAAAAGAATAGAAAATAAAAACAAAACAGGTAGTCATCTTTAATTTATGATTTTGTGATTTTTCATATAGATGCTGGGCTGGAGCGATAGCACAGCAGGTAGGGCGTTTGCCTTACACGCAGCCAACATGGACAACCCGAGTTCGATTCATCCACCCCTCTCAGAGAGCCCAGCAAGCTACTGAGAGTATTTCATATTTCACCCGCACAGCAAAGCCTGGCAAGCTACCCGTGATGTATTCGATATGCCAAACACAGTAACAAGTCTCATAGTGTTACTGGGCCCGCTCAAGCAAATCGATGAACAACAGGAGGACAGTGACATATAGATGTATATAATATTCATTTTATAGACTTACAGTAGAGTTTTATCCTGTAAATTAACCTCTACATTGGTCTCTAAACAGATGCTCTCTTTTCAAACCAAGATGCCAGCTATAAAAGAAATGGAAATGGTTCTCATTTATATTGGAGACCTGAGAAGACAAAAAGAAAAGTTACAATTCCAAGAGACCAAGGGAACACAGGTAATGTATAGAGAAACCAATTCCTACCTTCAAGGACTGAATCAATGCCCAAATGGGTTGTCTTACGGCACCCAGTAAATATTCGCTGCATTCTGTTTTGTCTGATGTTAACATTTCAGTCTTCAAGAAACTCTTCTACAGTTTCTTAATATTCTTTGATTATTTTATTTTCACCAACTCTCAATCTGTTTTTCTTACAAAAAATTCCATTTTCTTAAGATCTTTACAAAGAATGTACTGTTCGCTCTTGTTTTTTTCCTTTTTCTTCTTTATTTTGAAAAGCAAATGGTATTGGGGGAAAGATACATTTGCCTGAAATAACCTCAGTTGATATCAGTGTTGGAAGATCATGCAGATCAATTGATGGAAATGTAAGACATTAAGTAACTCTAGTTATTCTTCTGAGAGGTTGGTCTCACCACCTCAAGGGATCGATGTGAACAAGGCCTTTAAATGTCAATTTAAAAGGCAATTTAGAAAGTTATTACTGTTGAATATATACACATATCCATTTAGACATATATGTATATATATTTATATTTAAAGTATAAAAATAAACTTTTCTGGGCTGGAGAGATAATACAGAGGTTAAGGCACTTGCTTTGCAATTCCTTTTCATTAATATGCTGTTTTACAGTATGATACTTTAATTTTTAGGGGCTTTGGGTTGCCACACCTAGTGGTGCTCAGGACTTACTCCTGGCTCAGTGCTCAGTACTCACTAGTCAGTGCTTGGGGAAACCATATGCAGTGCCATGGTCTGAACCAGGTCAGCCACATGCAAGCATGAAAGACAAGGACCTTGCCCCAAACATTGGGTCCCCAATACCAGTGGGGCCTATACAGCGTTCTTTATTATTATTATTATTGCTTTTTGGGTCACAACCGACGATGCTCAGGGGTTACTCCTGGCTCTAGCACTCAGGAATTACCCCTGGTGGTGCTCAGGGGACCATAGGGGATCGTGGGAATCAAACCCGGGTCAGCCGTGTGCAAGGCAAATGCCCTACTGGCTGTGCTATGCTCCAGCCCCTATACAGGGTTCTTTAAAGAGGAAGCAAAGAGCTTGAACATTAGTGATCCACAATGTCTCTCTGCTCAGAATTCAAACCCATCTAGATTTCTCAACAGTTTTTTTTTCCCCACTCCCTCCAACAATGGGAAATGACCACTTTGGTTTCCTACAAAATGTTATATGGTGTTTTTAGCCAACAACAAGATATCCCTAGAAAAGATAGAAATATTTCCATTCTAAATCCTCACTTGAACTTACTCTCTTTTCTTCTGTGACAGGTCCTCATCTTTCAACCATTTGTCAGCACTCTGCTCCTGCTCATGCTAACCGTGTAAGTGTTTACCCCCACAACACTCATCCCGGCATGCTATTCTCTGCTGTTCCTGGTGGGTGCTGCCAAAACTCTGCTCTGGCCCTGAGGGTGCTCTGGGAGTAGTTTTCCAACCAGTACTTGCATGCAGCAAAGAGTCAGATTTAATAGATGCATGATTGAAGAATCCTTAAGGTCTATTTTTAATTTCCTTCTTGGCACATTCTCATCTCTTGTTTATTCTCGCGCGCAAGGCAAGCGCTGTGTTATTGCTCCAGCCCCCTGCCCCTGTTAAGGAAGGAGAATGGTAAAGTGTGTTGCTTTCTCAAACCATCTGAACACAGGCTCTGTGCCAGCAATGTCCAGTAATGTTATTCTCATGCACTCGGACAGCCCAGGGCCTGCGGGGACCACTACTTTTATTTTTATCATTTTTTTAATCATTTATCATTTTTATCATTATCATTTTTATCGTAAAAGCAGATCCGGCCTTTCTCCTTTACATTTTTTATCTTTTAGTCCAAGATTCTGTGCCATTCCAGTGGCCCACCTCCTCCCGTGCCACCTACAGTCCTGCAGCCAGGAGTCCCAGAGACAACTGCCCCTCGCAGCGGGCCTGACCCCAGGACCCTAGAGCCACCTGGGGAAGCTCCCGAGGAGTCAGTCTCCCGCCCCACAGACACCTCGACCCCAGGAGCCCTCACTACCCTCCTGCAAACGTCATTTCAGAATGTGTCAGACCAGGTAGGGAAGGTTGAAAATGGCCTTTCTCCTTTCTGCCTTTGTTAGAGGGCCCCAGACTTACTCAGCCCATCACCCTCTTTTCAGAGATGAAACCACTCAGCACCCCCTGGAACTTTGCCTTCATTAAGGGAATAAATACATGTCCCCACCCCCCCCCCCGCCCCACTGCAATTATACCAGAGGCTACTGCAGCCCCCTTCCTCCCACTCATGGTTTTAGCACCTCCCCACCCAGAGGGCAGTTCCCCAAACTGGGAAACTCTAGTCTGCTGTGGCCTTCGGAGGAGAGAGACTTCAGAGTGGAGCCTGAGGACTAGCACATGCCAAGGAGAAGCAGAAGGGAGCAAGGGTGAGGATGTAAAGGGCCTGGCCTTCGTGGCCTGAGATCTGGGCATCTTTTTATGCTTTTCTGTTTGTGCTCTGGGCGGTGTGGAAGCTCCCCTCACCCCACACCGTGCCAGAGACACAAACCCCTCAAGCTCCAACTCCATGCTCCTTCCTCCCCAGCGAACCAGAAATCCAAGCAGCGTGGACAGTGCTACTGAGGGGACTGACCTTTGGACAGCCAGGAGCTACCACACAGCTCCAACAGTCCGCTCGCATCCCGGCCACCAGTGGGAGGGAGAATCCGGCAGTTCTCTGGCGCTCTCCCTTAGTACTGGCCACAGCGGCCTTAATACGGGCCCCTGAGCACTGACCATCACTGCCTCAATACGGGCACCCGAGTGCTGGCCACGGCTGCCTCAACATGGGCCCCCCGAGCACTGGCCACAGCCTGTGGTAATCATGGGTCATGACACTGGTTCAAAGATCCAGAGCTCAGGCTTTGCATGCGGGAGCCCTGGGGTCAGTCCCTGGCAGCCCTTGGTCCCCCAGCACTGCGAGGTGCAGCTTAAAAGTAGAAAAGCGAAGGACATTTTGGGTTTTGTTTGGGGGGTGCCAGTGCTCAGGACTTGCTCCTGCTCTGCACTCAAAAATCACTCCTGATGGTGTGCAGGGGACCATACAGGATCCCGGGATCAAACCTGGATGAGCCACATACAAGGCAAGCGCCCTACCTCTGTACTATGATCCCCATTCTTTTTTAATCTGGTTGTTGTTATTTTGGAGGGGCCCACACCTAGCAGTGCTCAGGAATTACTTCTGGAATGTTTTTTTTTTATTAAAGTCCAACATGCAGACTCTCCAGACAGTTGTAAGGAAGAATCACTGAGCCCATTAAGACACATTTGCTTTCTTCCAGAATACCTGTGTGGTGTTCTGTAGCCAATTATGTTTTCACTTATATTAGCAGAACAGTCAGAAAATTAGATTTCTAAAAGTTATTATTAAAAAATAAAATATGGGTCAGAGAGAGTACATACAGGAGGGCGGGTGATTGCATTGCATGTGGCCTATTCCAGTTCAATCTCCAGCACCCCATGGATGGTCCCCTGGGCACTGCCAAAGGTCACTCCTGAGCACAGAGCCAGGAGTAGTCCCTGAGCACTGCCAGCTATGCCCCCAAACAAAAGACAAACATATATAGAGTCATTCAGGTATGAACAGTCAAAAAAAAAAAAATGAAAGAAATAAACTAGTTTGTTATAGTAAGTACCTAGGAGTCAGTCCAGGCAAAGATGAGCAGAACTTCATGGCAATAACTATAAAACCATGGAGGGTTGAGGATATACAGGCCCAGCAAGTGCAGGACCCTGCTGTCAATCCCAGCACTGCATACCCCTCCAGCCGCTGGCCGGGGTGGACCCGGTGCTCTGCAAGTATAGCCAGGTGTGGCCCCACTAACAAAGGGGACAAGGGGACAAAGAGAAGTCAAAGTGCTGAGCTCATGCAAAGCAAGCTTCAGGTTCCATCCAGCACTGCATGATCCCCCAAGCACTGCCAAGAGTAACCCAGGGGGCCCGAGTTATAGGACAGTGGAGAGGGCACTTACCTCATATGCGGCAGACCCAGGTTCTATCCTCAGCATCTCATATGGTCCCCTGAGAACCACTAGAGTGCTTTCTGAATGAAGAGCCAGGAGTGACCCCTGAGCATCACTAAGTATGGCCCAAACGCAAGTAAAAATAGTAAAGTGTCCCCCCGCCCCCCGGCACAGAGCTGAGAGTGAGTGTGCCCCACCAGTCTAGTGACATTTCAGGCCCTCCCTTTGCACATGAACCTGACTTAAGGGGAATCAATGCAGCGGGAAAGATGAAGTGTTAAAGAGACTTCTTAAAATTTTGCTTTTGTCAATTTGATCTCAGTTTTGGTCATGAGACTCATTTGTAAAACATCCCCAAAGCGGGATGGAGTGACGATAGCTATGGTTGGCACCTGAGCACCACTGGGACTTTGTGGACCCCCCAAAGTCTCAAGGTGTGAAAATGAGATAATTTTGAGCACAGCGGTAGGGCATTTGCCTTGCACGCAGCCAACATGGCCGACCCGAGTTCGATTCCTCTGCCCCTCTCGGAGAGCCCGGCAAGCTACCGAGAGTATCTCGCCCGCACGGCAGAGCCTGGCAAGCTCCCCGTGACGTATTCGATATGCCAAACACAGTAACAACAAAGTCTCCAATGGAGACGTTACTGGGCCCGCTCGAGCAAATCGATGATCAACGGGATGGCCTTTACTTACTTACTTACTTTACTTGAGAAATAATTTTGACATATTCCATTCTTTCACCAGGTCCTGGATGAGCTAGCAGGGAACCTGAGTGAAACAATCCGTGGCTTGCAAAGTCACAGTCACATGCAGAAAGCTTGTGAGGGTCTCCAGAGACTCACGGCCTTTCTCCCAAGATTTTCTGAGTCAACTCAAGTAAGAGGGGATGCTCGGGAGGGGAGAGGATCTGAAAGGGGAACATGAAAAAGAGAAAATGTGTCCCTAGGCAGAAACTGTCCAAGAGGAGGGCGTCCCATGTGCAGAATGTCATGTCATAGAAGGACTTTGTTTTTCTGGTTTTTGGTTGTTGTTGTTGTTGATTGGAGAATGTTTGCTATTGTTGTTGTGGTGGTGGTTCTTTTTTGGCTTTTCTGGTCACACCCGATGGATGCTCAGGGGTTCAAATGCTGTCTTCACCAAGTCCTTCTAAGAGCGCCAGAGCAGTAGTACTGTGGGTAGGCATTTGCCTTGCACACAGTCGACCTGGATTTGATCCCTGGCATCCCATATGGTCCTCTGAGCATCACAGGAGTGATTCCTAAGTGCAGAGCCAGGACTAACCCCTGAACACTTCAGGGTGTGAACAAGGAAGAAGAACACAAACAAATTGAAAATAGCCGTAAATCGTTCAGGGCCGTGTGTTTGCGTTCTAATCCCCAGGTGAGCTTCATCAATTCTTTCATTCACCTCAACAAGCAGCTCCTGCTGAGCCCGCCTGAGAATGGCAGTGACAAGTCTGTGACCGTCTGTCTCTTTCACTCCCTCCATGAAGGCGAGGAAAGGGGGCAGGAGAGTTGGCAAAGCCCTGGGCAGAGCAGCGAGCAGGTCTGTGCCATAGGTGCTGCTGGCCAGTTCCGCTTTGAAATGTTTTATTTCTCTACTTTTTGTTTTGCAGTGCTGAGCATCAAACCCAGGGCCGTACACACCGGAGGCATTTCACAGACCCGAAAGCCAATTTGTAGACACAAAAAGTGGATTAGCCGGTGCCTAGGTGTAGGGGAGTGAGGAGAGACTGGGATTGTTTTAGAGGAGCTGAATCTGTTTTCACAGCAGTTTGTGGTGATAGCTGCACCACCCAGTGAACATATATCTTTTAAAAATTAGAGGGTTAGAGGGATTAAACAGGATATAAGAGGTCAGGCTTATGCCTCTCCAGCAGCCAACTACAGTTCAAATCCCCAGCGACACATGTGGCACTGCCAAGGGTTATTCCTGATTACAGAGCCAGGAGTAACTCCCTGAGTACCACCGGGTGTGGCCCAAAACTCACAAATTCAATTCTTGTTAAAAACATTAAGTTGCAGGGGCTGGAGCAATAGCACAGCAGGTAGGGCATTTGCCTTGCATGCAGTCGACCTGGGTTTGAATCCCAGCATCCCATATGGTCCCCTGAGCACTGCCAGGAGTAATTCCTGTGTGCAGAGCCAGGAGTAACCCCTGAGCATTGCTGGGTGTGACCAAAAAAGAAAAAAAATTAGGTTGCATAATGGGTGAATTTTATTGCTTTGGGTGAATTTGATTTTTGGAAATAAACAGGTCAGCTTAGGTACTGGAGCAAAAAATACTTGAGTGGGAGGCCCTATTTGTTGATACGAGAATGAAGCGTCTCTGGTCAGTGTGTAGATACTTTCTGTGGGTCTCCCCTCTGCAACCCGTGTCCCCTTCCTGACATCATTGGCAGGATCCTCTCCCTTCCAGCCCACTTGAAGACCTTCCCTTACACCTGAAACAGTACAGTGAGGTCACACCAGGGGTACAAAATTTTTCTCTTGATACAGGTGGAAGATAATGGGTCAGATATGCCCTGGCTGGCCCATGGGAAGACCCCAGAAGCATTTCTCCCACAGAATCGGTTTGCTGGCTCATCCATGGAGCTCACCTCCTCCCTTGCTACCCTAATGCTGAGCAGGTGATGGGCGAGGAAACGAGGGGGACACCCTGTTTAAGTCTTGCCTTTAGACAAGATCCTGATATTGCCATTTCGTTTTTCTTCTTTTTTTCACTAGTCAAAACATATCAACCTTGCCTCTGAGCTCTTACACTCTTGGCTACCCCGCGCCTGTGAGGCTAGGTTTCCCATCAGCCACGGCCTTGGAGGAGCTCTTGAATAAACACCCAGGAGTGGACGTCCAAGTGAGCATGAACTGGATTCTGGGCTGGATGAGGATGGGTGGTGAGGGAGGCAGGCCCTGGGTGGGACAGAAACCACTGGTGCTTACACTGATGTCTCTCAACGGGCAGGAAGGAGGCCCTCAAGTAACATCCAGGGTAGGACCAGAAGCATTTAATAGCCTTCTGGTTTTAATTAAGTTCCTGAGTCATGATTTAAAATGAGCCCAGGAGCCAAGAGACAGTACAGTGGGTAAGGTGTGTGCCTTATATCCAGCCAACCCGGATTTGATCCATATCACTCCATATGGTTCCCCAACCCCACCAGGAGTGATCTCTGAATGCAGAAACAGAAGTAAGCTCTGAGCACAGTCAGGTGTGGCTCCCCCAAACGACAATAAATAAAAAATAATATTAGCTCAGCTCTTTACTCATTAGGCAAATCTGGGGAAATGTATATAATTAGAGGCTCAACATACTCAATAGAGTCATGTAATATATTGTATTTCTTTCAGCAATGACCTAACAAGTAAAATTGTTGCTTTATCTTGGAGAACAAGATACTTCCTAGTAAAATAGAATTTTGAGGCTAGAGAGATAAGATGGCCAATACAGAACTTGCTTTGCACATGACTGACCCAGGTTTGATCCCTGGCATCCCATATGGTTTCTGGAGCCCTCCAGGAGCGATCTTTGACTACAGAACCAGAAGTAACCCTGAGTATAGCTGGATGTGGCCAAAAAAGACCCCCCAAAAATAAATAGGATCCTTCAGGGATAAAGATACACACATTCTTAGGCTCTCCATCTTTAATGTTTCTCAGATGATATCATAAAAAGAAATATGCCAGTATCTAAAGATATTAGCAAGGGAGAAAATTCCAACATTAACTTTATGCTAATATATTTTTTATATGTAGGAGTACTGCTATTTATTCAGCCACTGATTAGCTGATTGACTTGTGCATGAACTTCACCTTACTTTTTTCCCATTTTTTATAATTTTATTTATTGAATCACCATGAGAGCAGTTACAAAGCTTTCAGGTCTAAGTCTTGGTCATACAATGAAACATCCATACCTTCACCAGTGCCCATTCTCCACCACCAAAAACCCCAGTATACTCCTATCCCACACCCTCCCCCTACCTGTGGGGCAGATGATTTCCACATTACTCTCTCTCTACTTTGATCACATTCAATATTTTGACACCACACCCACCATTATTATTTGAGATTTTACCCCACCACTTAGATCTGCTGAAAAGGCAACAGTAGACAATTTGTGTTCTATTGCTGGTTATGGATAACATATGATATTATCCATAAAATAGGGCCAAAATCATACGGCCCTACTGCAGTCGCATGGCTGCAGTAGGGCCATGTGATTTTGAAATTCTGAAATTTTAACACTTAAATCTGGAGGGATTTCTGCCAAATGCCACTGGGTTTCAAGATTTGCTCCTGAGTCTCTGGGATCATGGCCGTTGAGCACCTTGATTAGGAGCCAGAGAGGCCATTCGTGAGCGATGACTTGGGGTCTCATTGGGACGGGGAGACCAGGACTGGCTCCACCTCCATCCTGTGAGGCCCAACAAGTTTTGTCACTGTGGGCCCAGACCTGACTGTCCAGTGGCCTCTGGAGGATGACGGCCACTGAGCCGCCAAGGGGGAGCAGGTGGAGGGACAAGAGGGACAACACCCTTTCCCCCCTGGGGTGGCCTGGCGACAATAACCTACTGCGGTATCCATATGCTAATATATTTTTACTTACTGGAGTGTTATTTCTAAATATTTGGACAACAGATGAAACTAGTGTTTTCTTCTACCTAGGTAACAGGACTAGCTTTTAACCCCTTCAAAGATTTTGATGACACGAACATTGTCGGAAGCATCGGAAATGTGTTACTAAGCTCTAATCGCAAACTGCTCCAACTCCATGATTTAGTGGAAGATATTGAGGTACAACCTGATTGATGGGATGAGCAGAAGGGAAGAGAGGGCAGTGGGCAGCAGCTGGAAGGAAAGTCATTTTCGCTTTGTGGCAGAGCCCTTGTCCTGTTACCCTGTTTTCTTAGGAACTTTTACAAAGAGACCCACCACATCTTGGGAAAAGATGTTTAGGTACTAGACTCTGGGCGCCCCCTTAGTCCCTACTGACAGTCAAAGAGGATGAGGAGGACATAGAGAGGCTCTGCTTACAGCGGGGAAGCCCCAGTTCCCTTCCAACCAAGAAGTCAGGAGGAGCCTGAAAGCACCAGCGGGCAAAGTGCCAAACTGTCTCTCCTCTTAGATCACACTCTGGAGAAATGGGAGCATCGAAACGCATCCCACCAGCCTCAACCTGAGCACCGATCATTTTGTCATCTCGGTGAACATCACGACCCCAGAGAAGTCCCTGATAGTGTGCATTGAAGCCGAAAATCCCCTTCTCATGACCCTCTACCTGGGCTTCCAGTACCAGCCCAACCACACTCACTTCCACCGGAAGGTCACGCTCCCCAAGGGGCAGGTGCCCAAGGGTAAGAGCCCAGGCGCGTGTCAGGGACTGGCTTGGAAATGCTGTTTCCCCCCTTCTTTTTCTTTTGAAATACTTGTAGGTTTACATGAAACAACAAGAAACAAAACAGCATGCTTCTCTGCCCGTCTTCCCATAATGGTGACATGTTCTGTAATTGCAATGCAGTGTCATAGCCAGAAAGTGACTTTAATGGAATGTATTGACCTTCTTCAGCTTCCACCAGTTTACAGACACTTCTGTATGTGTGTGGATTAAATCTGTGTAATTTTAGTGAATTTGGGCTTGGGGTCACACCCGGAGATGCTCAGGAGCTGCACTCAGGGATCACTCCTAGTGCTGTCAGGGGACTAGATGTGACGCCCAGGACTGGGCCAAAGTCTGCCACATGCAAGGCAAGAGCTGTACCCCCTCTGCTATCTCTCTGACCAAGATCCGTGTCATTGCAACCATGAAATGAATTTTTTAAAAGATTGTGAGATGGATAGAGGCACATACGTGGGATAAAGCAGCTTTAGTTAAATGTTCATTGTTCAATCTGATTAGTATTCAAAGAATGATTGCATGTGACAAGTTCTCTCATGAGACCTTCTACATGATGGAGCGGGGCCTGAAACAGCCCTTTGCCTGCAGAGGGGCAGAGGTCCAGCCTGTGCTCACTCCCATCCTCCCTCCAGCCTGTCCTCCCTCTAACCTGTGCTCACTTGTCCTTCGGCCAGCCTGTGCTGACTCCATCTCCATGCCATCCTCCTTCCAGCCTGTCTCGAAGCCCAACCTCCCTCTGTTAAGTTTATTCAGACTTCCACCGACTAATTTTGATTATGATTGCCTCATCTTCCTAAACTCACCATTCTAATTTCTGAATTTTCATTTATCAAGAGGTTTTGTTTTTTGTTTTGTTTTGTTTTTTAAATAGAACAGGAATGACCCGTAGCTCTGGATTGTATCACTGGTCTTTGAAAACACAAATATTTGTGTTTTCAATATAGCACAGCAGGCAGGGCACTTGCCTTGCTCTGCAGCCAACCCAGGTTCCATCCCTGCCATCCCATATGGTCCCCTGAGCCTCTCTAGGGAGGATTCCTGAGCGCAGAGCCAGGAGTAAACCCTGAGCACTGTTGGGTGTGACTCCCAAACAAAGCAAAATAAACAAACAAAAAAAAAATCCAGTCATTTGTGGCTGTAGTCTTAATGCTCTTTTTGATGGTTGAGAGCAAAACCAGGACCTTGACCCTGCGAGGCATGCACTCTGCCACTGGGCTAGCTCCTTTCCGACTCAGCAATCTTGTCTGTCCTCAGACGAGGAGTATACGTGGGTGCTGACGCCCCGGTGGTTGCAGTATGGGATGGGCACCTACTACATAACAGCTGTGCTGAACCGCAGCCACGACGGCACCCAGCAGTCGGCCACCACCTTCTCCGTGGTCACGGCCGTCACCCAGTGTTACTTCTGGGACAGCCACAACAACACGTGGACGAGCGAGGGCTGCCAGGTAAGGGGCTGCGGGTCGTCCTGCTTCTTCCACTCGGCACCCTGCAGGGTGCCCCCAAAGTATAACCTGGGGGAGGGGAAGAAATAGTGCCGCCTGGGGAAAAGAAGGCGGGCAGTGTGTGGCAGGCAGGAGGGTCGCTTTGGGGGAGGCTTGTGCTTTCAGGGACACGGGAAAGGGGGCACAGGAGGACAGAATGATGTCCTCTCCCTCTGGTTCTTCTCGCGGGAGGGGAAGCAAGCAGACAAGTGTGCATCGGCCAGACCAGAAGAAGGGCAAATTTCAGAGCGGAAGAGACAGAACACTTGCCTCTCCCGAGTTCCATCTGCCCTGGGGTCACAGAATGATCCCCGCGCATGCGCCGGGAGAGAGCCCTGCGCATCGGCCAGGTGTGGCCCAAAAATCAAGGGGAAAAGAAAAAAAAGTAAACTCAGGCACCTGCTTAACTAGAGAATAATGACTGTTCATCCTAGAGTTTACGTTTGAGTTCCCAAACTGGATCAAGTCTCTGGGGCATCAAGGACAGGGGTAGGGGTGGGGGGCTAGAGCTATAGCACAGCAGAGAGAATGTTTGCCTTGCACGTGGCGGACCCGGGTTCGATCCCCGCATCCCATATGGTCCCCTTAGCCTCCAGGGGTAATTCCTGAGTGCAAAGCCAGGAGTGACCCCTGATCGTTGCTGAGTGTCACCCAAAAAGGGAAGAAGAAAAAAATAATAAAAAGGAGAGGAGGGGGTCGTGATGGCCAGGGCTGAGCCAGAACCAGCCGGCCCTGCCACTCGCGGCCTCCGGCATCATTTTCTGTCTGCTCTCAAGTGGCAGTTTTGGCTTTTATTTGTTTTCATTTCTGTTTGGCTTTTTTTTTTATTTAAAAAGGATACCCATGACATTCTTCAAAGAAATGGAGCAAACACTCCTGAAATTTATATGGAACAATAAGCCCCCACAAATAGCTAAAGCAATTCTTGGGAAAAAGAAAATGGGAGGAATCAACCTCCCTAACTTCAAACTCAACTACAAAGCAGTAATAATTAAAACAGCATGGTACTGGAACAAAGGCAGAACTGCAGACCAATGGAACAGGGTTGAATACACTGACATCTCTTCTCAATCATATGATCATCTAATCTTTGATAAAGGTGCAAGAAATGTGAAGTGGAGTAAGGAAAGCCTCTTTAACAAATTGTGCTGGCATCACTGGACGGCTACATGCAAAAAAATGGACTCAGAACTCTGCCTAACACCATGTACAAAAGTAAGATCAAAATGGATTAAAGACCTCAACATCAGACCAGAAACCATACATTGAAGGTACATCGAAGACAAAGTTGGCAAAACCCTCCATGACATTGAAGCTAATGGTATCTTCAAAGATGCCACGCCACTGGCCAAGCAAGTGAAAACAGAGATAGATAAATGGGACTATCTTAAACTAAGAAGCTTCTGCACCTCAAAGGAAACAGTGACCAAAATACAAAGACAGTCTACAGAATGGGAAAGGATATTCGCTGAATACACATCTGACAAGGGGTTGATTTCAAGGATATACAAAATACTGGTTGAACTCCACAAGAAGAAAACATCCAACCCCATCAAAAAATGGGGCAATGAAATGAACAGAAACTTTCTCAAAGAAGAAATCCGAATGGCAAAAAAGCACATGAGAAAATGCTCTACATCATTAATCATCAGGGAGATGCAGATCAAAACCACAATGAGATACCATCTCACACCTCAGAGACTGGCCCACATTCAAAAGAACAAAAGCAACCGATGCTAGTGCGGATGTGGCGAGAAAGGGACACTCCTTCACTGTTGGTGGGAATGTCCACTGGTTCAGCCCTTCTGGAAAACAGTATGGACGATTCTCAAAAAATTAGAAATTGAGTTCCCATTTGACCCAGCAATACCACTCCTGGGAATATATCCCAGAGAGGCAAAAATGTATAGTCGAAGTGACATCTGCACTTGTTTGTTCATTGCAGCATTCTTTACAATAGCCAGAAACTGGAAGAAACCTAAATGCCCAAGAACAGATGACTGATTAAAGAAACTTTGGTACATCTACACAATGGAGTACTATGTAGCTGTTAGAAAAGATGAAGTCATGAAATTTACATACAAGTGGTACAACATGGAAAGTATCATGCTAAGCGAAATGAGTCAGAAAGAGAGGGATAGACATAGGAAGATTGCATTCATCTGGGGGATATAAAGTAACAAAGTATGAGATTAATACCCAAGAATAGCTGAGATCAGCACCAGGAGGATTACTCCATAGCTTAGAGGCCAGTCGGGCATTCTAGGGGAAAGGGCAGCTCAGATAGAGAAGGGAGCACCAAATGGAGGGTGTTTGGAGGATTCTCCCAGGAGGGGAGATGCATGTCGAAAGTAGACTATGGACTGAACATGTTTGCCACTCAATGCCTCTTTTGCAGACCACAACACCCAAAAGAAGAGAGAGAACACAAGGGATTGCCCTGCCACAGTGGCAGGGTGGGATGGGGGGATGGGGGTGGGTGGGGGGGATATTATCCATGGTGGTGGAAAATGGGCACTGGTGGAGGGATGGGTATTTGATCATTGTATAATCGAAACCCAAGCACAAAAAATTGTAAATCTACAACTGTACCTCATGGTGTTTCACTAATAATAAAAAAAATTTTTTTTCCCGAGGGTAAAATTTATTTATTTATTTATTTATTTTATTAGTGAAACACTATGAGGTACAGTTGTCTTTTAAGCTGGTTCGGTCTGCGACAAATTCTCCACCCAGCACAGCCTGGTGTGAACCCCGAGCATGGCTCAAGCCTCAGGACCCCCATCCTTTGCACTGCAAAGGATGCCAGGAAGGCCCTGCGGCCTGGCGACCCTTGTGGTTCCAGGGCTTGTTCCAGCAAGAGGACGGTGTGAGGAGCACGAGGCTTTTTCACATGCAGACTCCAACAAGGAACTGGCACCTTTAAACCCAAGTTTCCTGGGAAGAAATGAGACAGCACATGACGAGTATGAGCGAAGGGTGGAGTCAAGCTCAGTACGTGGCAGTGCTCAGCTGTGTCACAAACTTCGTTTTCTGCCCCGTTTAGTCCTGGTGTTGTGGTGGTTTTCGGCTGCCAGGGCTCTGTTGGGGCAGATGGTGGGACCACCCGCCCCCCTCCAGGATGCTCTGGATGAGACTCAGTCTGGTGCGGGGTTTGGAGGCCTAGTTTGTGTTTTTGAACAACAGAAAACCGCTCTGGAATCACTGAAGCCTTCTGTGTGTCCCTCAGCAATCTCGTCTCCTTCCTCACCAGGGAAACCACTGTCCTGAATTTGGTATAAATTCCGATTCTTTCAGAAAGTATGTATTGAATGTCTCTTGTATATCAGACCAAGCCCCAGAAGCAGCGATCCGCTGACACAAGACAGTGCCCTGCAGCAAGAGAGATAGACAGGGGTGCCGGTGCGCTGCTCTTGGCTTTGGCGTGACTGGCATCATGCCAGCAAACTTGCCTTTTCCTTGTTCCTCCTTTCACTGTCTCCAGCTCTGATTCATCCCTCTTAAAGGCTGCCTTGTACTCCATCTGTTTGCTTGTCTGTAGGTTTTGCTGTGACTGGTTTCCTATAAACAACGCCCAACAAAACACTCCTTTTTGTGGCTGTTTGCATATGTCCGCCAAGTTCCCCCAGGAGGGATAATCAAAACCGAAATCACAGGAGTCAAAGAGTTTGTACTTCTTCAGTTTCTCGGGCCTTGTTGAATCTCTGTCCATGCAGGCGATCCCTTTTCACACAACCGCCAGTGGCAGATGGGCCATCCATCTCTGCTTCCCCCCTCCAAAGGGGGCGTGTGGATGGGGTGGGCTGGCTGTTCCCAGTGTGCACTGAGCTGTGCATCTGTGTTCTCCTTGTAGGTGGGTCTGCAGAGCACGGTTTTGAAGACGCAGTGTCTCTGTGACCACCTGACCTACTTTGGCAGCGACTTCTTCATCGTGCCCAGGACAGTGGATGTTGCAGACACAGTGAAACTGTTCCTCCGGGTGACCAACAACCCCGTCGGGGTGTCGTTGCTGGCCAGCCTTCTAGGGTTGTACATGCTCCTATTTATCTGGGCTTGGAGGAAGGACCAGGACGACAGGCGGAAGGTGATGAGCTTTGATTCCAAACATTTTGCCTCGGTGTCTTGAGTATGTTGAATCAGATGAAAATGAAACCGATGGCTTGGTACTAGGTAATGTGGAAATGCAACTGGAACTTTCATTCCCTTTCCTTGACAGTCTCAAGGTTGGTAAATTTAACTGTCATCATTGTTTAAATTTTGGTTTTGGACCACACCCAGCTATGCTATGGGCTTACGCCTGGCTCTGTGCTCAGGGTTCACTCTGGCGGGTTCAGGGGACCATATGGGACACTAGGGATCAAACCCAGGCCAGCTGCATTAAAGACAGGCTCAATGCCTACTTTACTGTCTCATCAACTCCTAACTATCTTCATGCTTTAAGTTTTAGCCAAGGTTGAACTCACTTGTGATCCATTTAGGTTAAGAATAAGCTCAGGGGTTGGAGTGATAGCACAGTGGGTAGGGCATTTGCCTTGCACGCGGCTGACCCAGGTTCGATTCCCAGCATCCCATATGGTCCCCTGAGCACTGCCAGGAGTAATTCCTGAGTTCAGAGCCAAGAGGAACCCCTGAGCATCGCCGGGTGTGACCCAAAAAGCAAAAAAAAAAAAAAAAAAAAAAAAAAGAAGCTCAAAGACACCCAGAGTACTTAACCATCTTCAAAACAAAATTGTAGGAACTGAGGAGGTGACTCACAGGACTGAGTCCAGCACCTGCCTTTGCAAGAGCCCTGGGTTGTGTCCCCAGCACTGTATGGCCCCCAAGATCCACTGCATGACCCAAAAAAAAAAAGTTTCTCTCATTTTATTTTTAGGATATCAAAGTGTTATATAAGTCAGATTATAATTTGTTTTGTTTGGGGGCCTCACCTGGTGGTGCTTAGGAGTCCTTCCCAGAGGCACTCAGAGGACCAGGTGATGCTGGACGCAAACCCAGGGCTCCAGGTGCAAAGACCATGTTCCTGCCTCCAAATGATCATTTGGAATGTGGCTGCACTAAATAAGAAATTTCTGCGGAAAAACTAAAACTGTGTGGAATTCCTTTTGAAGCAGAAGTTCTTTAATGACATTCCGTTTTATTGTTCTCATGCTCTCTTAGACTTTTGAATCCAAAATATGTAATGGCCATTTTGCTGTTGGCATGGGTGTAGAGTTGCTTATTGCAAGAAATAAAAACATAGACCAGAGAGATAGTGCAGCAGGGAAGGCATGAGGCATTGCATGCAGCCCTTGCACATGGCCAACTCTGGTTCGATCCTGACACCTCATACGACCCCCTGAGCACTACCAGGAGTGATCCCTGAGCACACAGTCAAAATCAAAAAATAAATAAAATTTTAGATTACAATTACATTTGAATTTTAAATTCGTGGACATCTTTTCCCCTTTTTGCCCTCTCCTTTTGTGTGCATCTTTTGTATGAGTATGCCTCCAAAGCTTTCACTAAAATTCAAGTCCAAGGGCTGGAGAGATAGCACAGCAGGTAGGGCGTTTGCCTTGCACGCGTCCGACCCGGGTTCAATTCCCAGCATCCCATATGGTCCCCTGAGCACTGCCAGGGATAACTCCTGAGTGCAGAGCCAGGAGTAGCCCCTGTGCATTGCCGGGTGTGACCCAAAAAGCAAAAAAAAAAAAAATAAAATAAAATAAAATTCAAGTCCAACTGGGTGTCTTCTATACTAGCTGCTCACCCCACCTGGATCAGGAGGGGGTGGGAAGGTTTTGGAGGCCCAGGCCCTGCCAGCGGAATTGTGTGACGAGGTCCTGCCTTTCCGCCCTCCTGCCCGCCCCACCCCCACCCCCAGGGCACCGCCTCACTCAGGTCAGCTCCTCAGGTGCCTTCTGGCCAGGCCTCACTCGGGCTTCTCCTGACTCTCAAGACGGCAGCAGCAGATTCTCCCGTGTCTCTACTGAAGGAGTCCGGGGGACGCCTCTGTGACACGAGCAATGGTTCTGCTTTTCCCACAGGTGAAGATCACTGTCCTGGCCGACAATGAGCCCGGCTGGCAGTTTCACTACCTGGTTCAGGTGCACACGGGCTATCGCCGGAGGGCAGCCACCACCGCCAAGGTGACCGAGATTCTTCTGCTCTGTGGCCTTGTGCAGGGGGGCAGCTGAGACGGGCTCAGACACCGAGAGTCCCTAGCTCCAGGACCTGGTCTGAGAAGCCTCTACACATGGGGGCTGCCACACATAGCAGCTCGCTGTTCATTGTTTCTTGCCTGCTGAAGGTCTGGGGCAGCTCTGCCTCTGGTGCTGTTTGTCCAGTGGCTTGTGCCCACTTCTTACCCCGGTGATCCACGTAACTAAGGTCTGACCATGATTTAGACAGAACGCTTTTATTGCAGAATAGATTACAGTATAAACCATCAGAAAACCACTAAAAATGTTAACTTAGGGCCTGGATGGATCGCTCAGTGCCCGGTGCACACTCTGCATGCCAAGGCCCAGGTTCAGTCCCTGGCACGGTCCCTTGAGCACCACTGGGAGCAACCCCCAAGCACAAAGCCAGGAATGACCCCCAGAACCACTGTTATGACCTCGGAAACAAACTAAGGGCTGGAGAAGAGCTCACTGGGCAGGGGCACCGATTTTGTTTCATTTTGTTCATTTTGTTCTTGTTTTGGGGTCACACCCAGAGATGCTCAGGGGTTACTCCTGGCTCTGAACTCAGGAATTCCTTCTGGGAGGTTGGGAGAACCATACGGGAGGCTGGGGAGCAGACCTGGGTCAGCCTCGTGCCAGGCAAACACCCTCCCCACTGTGCTATGGCTCTGGCCCCAGGGGCACATGCTTTGCACTTGGAAAGTGTGGGTTTGATCCTTGACACCACAAGATCCCCCAAGCATAGCCAGGAGCAACACCAAACACGCCCCAGGAGGACTGTTGGTTGGGGGAAAAAACTAAACCAGAAAAATATGAATTTATTCTAGTATGAAAATAAGACATCAGTATGTGAAACCCAGCTTTATTGTGGGGAGAGACGGTCTCCCGAGAAGTACTTGTGGGGTCCCGGAGCTGGGGACTAGGTGCACGCATTGCATGTGCCCTAACTCTGCACTCTCCCTGCCCTTAAGCTTTTATATCCACAAGGAAGTCAGAACTCCCTGGGAGTCACTTTATTGCTATACTCAGTCCTGGGAACAGCCCTGCAAGTATCTCTGGGCACACTTGTCTAAGACACCAGGCTTCAGCTAAGTCAGAGCTTCCCAAACAGATCTGCCCTGCTCTCTCCTTCCTGGGGGTCGAGAGGAGCATGGGGGGCACACAAAACTCTCAGAACCCTCAGGAAATCTTCCTTCTTTAAGCATCTCCACGGCACTGAGGTTGCCATCACCCCCTGCCCCAGGTCACTCCAGTGACAGCCCACCTGGGAAGCACGGATATAGCGCAGTTTTCTCTGACTTCTTCAGAATAACCCCCAAGAACCCTTCTAGAACTCTTTGCACTTCTCTTCCCTCGTCGAGTTTTAGGTGGTGATCACCCTTTACGGTTCCGAGGGACGGAGTAATCCCCATCACCTGTGGGACTCGCAGAAGGCAGTCTTCGAGCGTGGGGGACTGGATGTCTTCCTCCTCTGCACCCAGTCCTCTCTGGGAAACCTGCACAGCCTGCGGCTCTGGCATGACAATTCTGGGGCCAGCCCCTCTTGGTAAGCACCCGTGGTACTGGCCCGGCTCTTCTCTTCGAATCCTCAGCCCTCTGGGCAAAAGCAGCAGCATCACAGTAAGTAACAAGAAGTCCCAAAGGCAAAATAGTAACCTTCGCTGTCTGCAGAGGGACCCAAGAAAGAAATATCAAGCATTAACGGTACCAATCCTGATGGCTAGTGCAATGAGAGTTTTATTTTTCTGACATTTTCATGGAATGTTGTCATGATGGTGGATACAAAATAATAACAATGAAATGTTGCTTCAAAAGATCATAAAGATATCTGACAATAAAAAGTGTCTTTAAAACTTACATTTAGGGGCTGGAGAGATAGCACAGCGGGTAGGGCATTTGCCTTGCACGTGGCCAACCCCGCTTCGATTCCCAGCATCCTGTATGGTTCCCTGAGCACCGCCAGGAGTAATTCCTGAGTGCAGAGCCAGGAGTGACCCCTATACATTGCCGGGTGTGACCCAAAAAGAAAAAAAAAACTTACGTTTAGGTGGGCCAGAGTGTTATTACAGTGGGCAGGACATCTGCCTTGCATGCAGCTGACCTAGATTCAATCCCCAGCATCCCACTTGGTCCCCCAAGCATCACCAGAGTAATTCCTGAGTGTAGAGCCAGGAGTAAGCCCTGAACACCACTGAGTGTGCCCCCCAAAGAACTCCCCACCTCAAATTAGTCTATTCAGTGGGCCAAGGAGATAGACAAGGCTTAAGGCACTTGGCATGTGATCCTGACAGAGCGATTGTGGTTTCTCAGCAGAGACCTGCACTGCCTGGTGCTGGGTTTCAACTCCAGCACTACAAAAATAATAAATCACGAAAACTACACGTCTCACAAAGAACATAACTCTCAACATTAAATTCTACAAGGATTTTGACTAGAGAGCTTTGCATGGTTTTATGACACTAAATTTAGACTCTTGAGGAAATACTACCATGCCAGAAAGGAGGAGGTTACCTGTGCAGTCAGATAGTGGGGCCAGAGTGTTTGAGTGGTGGGGTGCTCCGGACACAAGTCTGCCGAAACCAGCCACTACTCGGGGAGAAGTCAGGCTCACAATAAGCCATGCCACTGTGGTTGGAGAAGGCCTGATCTCAAAAGGAGGCCATGGGCCTGAACTGGATATGCTGCCGCTGCTGGTGCAGTCACCTCTGTCTCCACCTGGCGGAACAGAAAGCAGAGGGGAAGGAAGCTGGACGAAGCGCAGGGCAGTGCGAGAGGCAGCCAGGATGGGCCAGGAACATTCATGTGCTGAACTTCTCATGGGCGGCAGAAGCCTCTGGAACTCCCCTAGTGGTGGGGACTGTGAGATGAGACCAACTCTCACTTCTGAGCTTTTGTCATACAAAGAAGCAGTCCCTGACGCTCACTGACATGCTGACAGGAGGTGACTTCTCCCCTGGCCACTCATGCAGGGCCCAGGGGGCTGAGGAACTACTCCCGGTGCTGATACGGGGCCAACCAGACCGGATGGTTCAGGGGCCACCAGGGTCTTCAGAGCGTCTGGGGCCTGGAGGGTAACACCCAGTGGGGGAGGGATGGGAGGTGTCCAGGACTCCACTGGGTGGGATATGTAGGGTCTGAGCTCACCTGCCAGCTATGGGCCCTGACAGCCTAGCTATCTCCCAGGTCAATATGACTTCTTACAAATGCCACCTCCCAACGTAACTCCTCTATCTGGTCACAGGTACGTGAGCCAGGTCATTGTCATTGACATGATGGCTAAAAAGAAATGGCACTTCTTGTGCAATTGCTGGCTGGCCACGGACCTTGGAGATGGTGAGCGTGACCGGGTCTTCCTGCCTGTCTCGGAGAAGGAGCTCTTTTCTTTCAGGTATTCCTGCAAAATGCGTTTCAGGAGCTCGCGTCTTCCTTTCTCCTTCCCTCCCTCCCTCTCATTGGTGCTCAGGGGACCATACATGGTGCTGTGGATTCAAACCTAGTTTGCTCCTGGCCAGCACCACTGGATGTAGCCGCCATAAGAATAAATAATTTTATGTCTTTATATACTCTAATGAGATATTATTTTCAGTTGATTCCTTTAATTATTTAAATATGTGTAAAATAGTTCATTTAAAGTTGTTGTCTAAAGGAGAGATAGCACCGTGGTTAAGGCAAATGTTTCATATGCAGGTAACCATGGTTTGATCCCTGGTACCACATGGTCTCCTGGACATTATTGGGTGCACCTTGGCTCCCTCTGAGCCATGCTGGGGGGCTCAGATGACCCCCAGCAAAAAGAGCCAAAATTGCACCCCACACTTGGCCCTCGTCTCAGAGTGCTGCTTCTGCCAATATTCACGGGGAGGTCCTGGAATGCCTGAGAGGGAGGGAGAGTGAGTGAGAGAGAGAGAGAGAGAGAGAGAGAGAGAGAGACTCTTTGTCTAGTCTAGTAAAACAGTGTCTTGGCCTCTTCAGCTTTTGTGTCTTGTGATATTTTTTTACTAAAAATCAGACATTAAAACCCTTTAAATAATATAATGTGGATTGGAGAGACAGTGTAGGGGTTAAGACACTGCCTTGCCTACAGCCAGCCTAGCTTCAGTCCCCTGCAGGGGGTCCCCTGAGCACCACCAGGAGTGATCCCTGAGCTCAGAGCCAGGAATAGCTGCTGAACACCAGATTATAGCCCCCAAATCCCCCAAATTAAAAACTTTAGCACTGTAGCACTATCCTCCCATTGCTCATCGATTTGCTCGAGCAGGCCCAGTAATGTCTCCATTGTGAGACTTGTTGTTACTGTGTTTGGCATATCGAATATGTCATGGGTAGCTTCCCAGGCTTTGCTGTGCGGGCGAGATACTCTCGGTAGCTTGCCAGGTTCTCCGAGAGGGGTGGAGGAATCGAACCCGGCTTGGCCGGGCCAGAAATTTAAAACTAGAGCATGGCAACTCGAAACCAGTTACCTTCCCTCAGTCTTCACTGCTCGTACTGGTAGTGGTGTCTGCTTTTCTGAACTGATTTTGTATGTGCTCTTTGTCACATCTGGCAGCTAAAGTTCCTTCTCAGTTGGTTCAGTGGCTAATGAGTGGGCCACCGTTTGCTCCCATGGCGGCTGGAGTTCTGGGCATGTCTTCAACTCTCAGTGAGACTTGTGAACAGCTCTGCATTGACTAAGCTGTGCTCCTTGCTGAGTGCTTCAAGGTTGCCCTTGTAAGAGGGCAAAGCTTTCCCGAATACCCTCTGAGCACAGCCCTGGGCATGCATGTGACCTTCTAGACACCTGGGCATTTGTCAGAGTATTTAAAAACTCCAGCAATGTCTCACTTTCCAGCTTTTTCTTTTAAGCTTTTTGGCGAGTACTGCCCCCACAGCTGGGAACTAGGAAGCATAACCAAGGCCCCTGAAGGCTCTGGAGAGCTTGTTCAGGCCCTCTTACCGCTGCCAGCTCCAAGTCAGGGCTAGATAAGGACCAACGACAGTAGGCTTTTCCATCAGTTCCCATCAGTGCCCATCAGTGGCCCAGTTCTCTGGGCACATGTCTGCTAAGGGCTCCAACGCCCCTGCCTGCAGGAGGAGGTGACCTCCATCTACTGGTCTTCATCTTGGCTGAAGACTCTTGTCCTCCCAATTCCTCTGGTGCCAGCCAAAGGGAATCAGAGCTGGGCTGGTTGAAATGCCAAGGTGCTGACTGCTCTTTCTCCATTGTTCTGGAATAACCACTCCTGGGCCACTTAATAACTTCGGTTATTCCCAATTCCTCCAAAGGCTTTAATCTCAGCCTACCTCAGCATCATTGCGGGGTTGAACAGTGGCAGGCCCGGTGCTGTGTAGCCGATAAACCCTGTCTTTCGCAGAACACGGTCTTACGCCTGTCCTCGTGTCTTTGCAGACACCTGTTCTCCTCCATGATCGTCGAAAAGTTCACGCAGGACTGCCTGTGGCTCTCGGTGGCCACTCACCATCCCTGGAGCCCAGCCAGCAGGGTGCAGCGGCTGGCGTGCGGTGCAGCCCTTCTCCTCTGCAACATGCTCACCAACACCATGTTCTGGAGGACCAGCGGTGCCGCGGTCCAGCGAGGCCAGCAAGGTGCGTCGGGCCAGACTGCTGTCAGACGCACCAGGAGCCCCTGTTTTCTTTATGTTTTCTGAGCCACACCCAGCAGTGTTCAGGGGTTACTTCTGGCCCTGCGCTCAGGACTCACTCTGGCAGTGCTTGGGGGACCATGTGGGATGTTGGGGATACTGAGCCTGGCTCAGCCACATGCAGGGCGAGCCTGTTACCCATGGTGCTATCTCTCCGGTCCCCCGAGTCCCCCGTGTTCCCTTCGCTGCTCCAACATCGGAATCCTTGACAGATGTTCTCACGGTCTCATTCATTAACAGAGGAACACACCTGTGGCTTGTCTGCCCCTATCACTTTCTGTCCTTGAAATATTTCGAGTGGGGCTGAAGCAATAGCACAGCGGGTAGGGCCTTTGCCTTGCATGCGATCAGTTCCCAGCATCCCATATGGTCCCCTGAGCACCGTCACGAGTCATTCCTGAGTGCAGAGCCAGGAGTAACCCCTGTGCATGGCCAGATGTGACCCAAAAAGCACACAAAAAAGAGAAGTACTTATTATAGTTCAGCTATTGTTGTCAGAGAGTGACTTTGCGGCGACTTTCGTTATTGAGGCAGTCGGCCGATGTGATGCTTTTCTTTCCAGTGGGTCCATTCACGGTGACCTGGTCCGAGCTGTGTGTCAGCATCCAAAGTGCTGTCATCCTCTTCCCAATCAACCTGGTCATTGGGCAGCTCTTCCAGACGCTGCAGCCACAGGCGCCCCTGCCTCTCTTTCCGCTGCAGAGCGCCAGCCCCGCAGAGGCGTCTCTCGAGCCTCTCTCCCTCCCACGGGTAGCAGAGGTAAGCGTGGGGCCACGTTTTGGGGGCCACGACATGCACCGTGTTGCACAAGGTGGAAGAGTCTGCTGAAAGGTTCTTGGGGACCTTGTTACCCACAACAGCTTGTCCCTGATTCCTGTCCCAGGGCTCCATCTGTGTCACTTTGTTCTGAAGTATTCTGAGGACTAGATGTGAGTGGGGAGTGGACTTCTGGAGTTGTTCCAAGCTTTAATGTTGGAGTAAATGCTCCCTTCTTGGGGGCCGGATCAATAGTATAGCAGGGAGGGCACTTACCTTGTGTGCAACCAACCCAGGTTTAATCCCTGGCATCCCATATGGTCCCCCAAGCCTGCCAGGAGTGATTCCTAAGTGTAGAACCACGAATAACCCCTGAGTAGCACTAGGTATGGTTGCTCCCAAAAAATACCCCCCAAAATTTAAAAATGATAGTAATAATAAAATACCTTTCCCTTCTGGGGCCAGAGAGATAGTACAGGAGTTAAGATCTTTGCCTTGCATTTGGCCAACCAGTGCTCGATCCTGGCATATGATCCCCCAAGCCCCACCAGGAGTGATCTCTGAGCACAGAGTCGGGAGTAAACCCTGAGCATCACTGGATGTGGACCCCAAAGAAAGTGCACACGTGCACACACACACACACACATGTGCTCACTCTCCCTTCCTTGGTTCTCTAGTTTCACAGAAAACTAGTTTGGAAGCTGCTGTGAGGCAACCTCCTTCAGAAAAACACACCGTGAGAAGTTGGAGCTATTTACTGTAGCGTTTCTCAACAGGGGTGATATGGCCCCCTGGAGCCCCCGCCTCCATATTCCAAGGAAGCCCTAGGTGAAAATCGTGTAAAATGGGGGCATGGCTAAGGCCAACTGAGAGAGAGAACAGGGCCCACAGGATGTCAGAAGGGGCTCAAGAGCACAAAAGCGGTCGAGAAACACCCGTTTCCATGTCTGCTCCTTGGAGTCAGAATCGACCACATGACCACCGTGAGCCAGGGTTCAGGTCAGTCACAGCCTGACCTTTCCCATCTTGCTGCCACTTTCAGGAGCTGACGGAAACCGTGGGCTTCCTGCTGAGGAGAAACGCGTACTTACTCTCAGAGGGCGAGCAGTCTTCATGGAGTTCTCATAACATTAACAAACTGGTGACGCTTTTCTCCAACCTCGTGTGCTTTCACTTAGAAAGTCAAGGCTGCCATCAGGAAAATGGTAACAGTAAGAATTTAGTCGCTTGCCCTTCCCCGGACTTGAGCATCTGTTTATGTTTTGAGGACACACCCAGCAGCGCTCAGGGCTTATTCCTTGGTCTGCACTCTGGAGAGTTTCACATGGAGTGCTGGGCTGACTGTGTGCAAGACAAGCACCCTGCACACTGTAGGTCCAGCCTCTCCCCTGCACCCCTCTTTCCTTCTTGCTCTCAGTGTAGCCCACCGGTGTGAGGCAGCCCAAGAGCCTCGAGCCCCTTCTCAGAGCTGACTGCTTTGTCCCTCTGCCGATTTTGCGAGAGTCCAGCTGGTGTTCTGTGAATGTATAGGAAGAGGAAGCCTAGAAGTTTCTCCACATCAGCTCCTCACTGTTCTGCTCTGTGTGGGGGGTGTTGAAACTTGCCGTTCTTGTTTGGCGATGATGAGGTGGATATGGGGATCTTACGCATGGAAAGCAGGACTCACTGAGCTCAGCCCCTTGCCCCTCATTCTTAATCTTCTACGGGACCCCAGAGGGTGTCATTTGTGGAATCTGAAATCCCAGGTGCCTAGGTCACAGGCACGACATTCTGAAAGAAGCAGCAGCAGGTTCTCTACATCTCTAGTTCAACGTCCAAAATTTGACAACTTACTGTAAGTTCTTTACATGCCAGAAAAGACCGTAATGATGGTGGGTGTTGGATGCAATCTCCACCGATGGGAGATGTAATTTCCTCAGTCATTAATGAGTCGCTCATCTCTATGAGTAATTACGGTTTTTGTTGAAGTCCTTTTGCTTGCTCAAGGGCCAACCTGGAATCTGTCTCCAGCGGCTCCCGAAAATCACCTTCATTTCCGCTGTTACCTGCTGAGGGTTCTGCAGAGAGTGCAAGGTCCGCTCCAAACACTGGGGGACGCCCAGATCACCCAGGACTTCTTAGCTGCAGCTGGCCAGCTGCGGAGAGTCCAGGAACTTTTGGAAACACACGTTCCTCCCGCTGATCCGGGGCCCGGCAGGTGATGCCCCCAAGGCAGGCTTGTTTCATCCCGTGACCTTCCTAAACCTCTCAGCTGTTGGCGGGAGATGCTACCTTACACTTCTACTCTGCAGGGCCTCCACCAGTTTCCCCATCCTGAGCTCTGAGGAAGGAAAGACCCCCCTCTGCAAGGACCTGCCTGGATGGGTGACGTACGTCAGCTGGATCCTTCTGAGTGTCACCAGCCTGGTCGCTGCCTTTTTCACAGCACTTTATAGCTTGGAACTGAACAAGGACCAAGCCACCAGCTGGGTCATCTCAATGATTTTATCATTTCTTCAGAATATCTTCATCAGCCAGCCAGTGAAGGTAAGAGAAGCAGGTCACATATGTGGCAAGGAGCTTGGGAAATGCAGATTCATGGGTCCTGGTCCACAGTTTGATCTGACGGTGATATCTGAGTACAGAGCTAGGAGTAACCCTGAACACCTCCAGTTATGGCCCCCAAACAGATAATAACAAGCACTTGAGATTGATTCACCTTAACCTTCACTTTTCCATAATGTCACTGCCTCAGGTCCTAGGTAGCTCCTGCCTAGGGTCTCCTGGTCTCTCGTTGCAGATCCTCTTTGTCACACTGTGGTTCTCACTGACAAGGAACAGGATGCCGAGGTTTGACGAGGAGAAGGAACGGCAGACAAAGAGGATCCTGGCACTCCTGGGTGATTCGAGTAGTTTTCTCTGCTAATTTCTCATTTGGCGAGGAGAAGGCTACATCAGCACAGTGGAATTCTAGGCTCACATCTGTCCATTCATGGGTCTTGCCTTTAGCCAGCACGTCACCCTTCCTTTTGCCCAGGGCTGACGGGGACTGGCACCAGAAGCCAGTCAGTCATTCACCAGAAGCCATTCAGTCTTATGCATTCCTGTCAGTGCCCACCCCTGTTGTACATCTCTGTCCTTCCTGGTTCTTCCGTCATAGCTCTGGTGACTCACCGGCTGCTTCGGACGAACTGCAGGAATCTCAGACTAAACGTGCCTGACTATTATCTGCCAGGCCTACAAATTTATTTCTTTGCTTTTTCGGAGGTCTGGAATCGATAGCACAGCGGCTAGGGCGTTCGCCTTACAAGCGGCCAACATGGCCGACCCGAGTTCGATTCCTCCGCCCCTCTCCGAGAGCCCGGCAAGCTACCGAGAGTATTCGATATGCCAGACACAGTAACAACAAAGTCTCCAATGGAGACGTTACTGGGCCCGCTCGAGCAAATCGATGATCAACGGGAGGGCCTTTACTTTACTTTACTTTTTACTTTCGGAGGAACCACACATGGGGCTGGGAATCAAACTGGGGTTGTCTGCACTCAGGCAAGTTCCTTAACCCTGTGCCATTTCTCCGGTCCCTTCCCAGTTCAATTAAGCGTATAGTCACTCCTTAAAAATGTCCGAGAAGTCCCAAAATCCCTGCTAAGTCCCCATGCTCAGTTACTGAGCTTGAAGGGGCTCTACACCACACTGCCGGGTGAGGCCAACTCCACAGCGTGACATAACATCATGATTCTGAGGTGTGCAACTCAGTGGCAAGCACGTGCTTCATCTCTCTGAGTCCCTGAGTTTGCTCTCCAGAATCTCCACAAAATATCCCTCAGGGCCCGAAGGATAGTTCAAGGAAAGGCACTCATGATGCATGTGTCTGCCCAGTTGGATCCCCCGTATGACATGATCCCTGGCCCCTCAGTACCACTGAGCTCCCCTAGGTGTGGCCCCCAATCCCACCCCGAATTAATACTCTGACTTCATCCCCTCTTCCCAGCTCTCATTTCCATGTTCTTGAATTGCTATTTCTTTTTGTTTGTTTGTTTTTTTATTGAATGAGACAGAGTTACAAAGCTTTCATGTTTGAGTTTCAGTCATACAATGATTGAACACCCATCCCTTCACCAGTGCACATTCTCCACCACCAACGTCCCCAGTATTATCCTCTCCCTCTTCATCCCCATGCTTCCTGTGTCATGTTGCTGTTCTTTCTTTCCATCTTGATTTCCAAGTCTCTGGCTACTCCTGGTGTGGTCCAGAGATCCCCGTCATTGGCTTCTCCTACAACTGTCTGAGATGCAGTAACTTGGCCCCACCTGAGACTCTGCCTCTTAACACAATTCCCGTCCCTTCTCTGATGCTAATGTTACTCCACACACATGCACACCAGCAGCATAAGTGCCAGAGGCCGGGCCGGCACTATCTATCTCCAGCCTGTGACAAAGAGGGAAAGGGAAAGCACATTTAGAAAGTTTCAGAGCACTTAAGCAGACTAATTTCAAGCCTCTTAGAACCACTTAAAATGAGATGTGTGTGCTACACATCCCTCATTTCATTTTTCAAGTGAGCTGTATTGTGTTTAACAAAAGCATGGCTTCCGGTAGATTGGAATTTTATATATTTTTTTATTTTCCCCCTTCACTTTCCATTGCTGTCACAGAGATTGCTGACATGGCCTGGTGTGTACAGGTTTGGTCGTTATGGTGCCACACCTGGCCAGGTGGAGCTCCCACATCTGCTCTGTGGGGTTACATAGCTGGTCTCATGTGCCCCATTTTCCTCTGTGCTCACCCACAAGCTTTAGCTGCAGAGTTGCTCAGAGTCTGCAGTGTGCCCGAGATGTTCAGCCCGTGGGGTGGCCCCAGGCAACCTCGCCTCTGCAAGTCACTTGCTTTTTGCACCCCTCCCACCATGTTGGACTAGAGTTCTCCGTGGTAATTGGAGAAGCGTCTTGTGACAAAATTAATTGGCTCACTTAATTTTTTTCAACATTTAATAGAAGGTACACAGAAGAAATACAACAGCTTACAGCTTTTGTTTGAATTTTTTGCCAGCAACATGTCCTCCTTCGTTACCTGGTTCAAGGAACAGGAATGACCCCATCTACGTTGCACCAGCTGTGGACAGTCCAGTGAAGCGCCCAGAGAGGACCTGGAAGGGGAAGAAACTGTTGAAACAGACGGGAGAGATTTTGGGTAGGGAAAGGGGAGCTGACGTGGCCAAAAGGGACAGCGAGAATGAAAGCAAAACGGGAAAGGGAACTGCATCTTCAGAGAGCTCAGGATCAGGAAGCACTCAGAGTACTGGAGGCCAGGTCAGGGGGCAGCATGCGGGGGGAGCCCTGGGTCCTTCCAGCAGCGCCCAGCATGCACACACAGGCACGAATCACGACCATCCTGTTATTCGTCGATTGCCTCGAGCAGACCCCAGTAACGTCTCCTTCATCCCAGCCCTGAGATTTTTAAGAAAGTGCTATATTCAAGGCTCTTTAGGAGAATGAGACCCATCATTGTTATGGGTATTTGGCATATTGGGTACGCCACGGGGAGTTTGCCCAGACTCTACCGTTTGGGCAGGTTACATTTGGTAGCCTGCCAGTTTGTCCAAAGTAGGAATGAGATAATAAGATGTCATAATAAGATGTTGCGCAGCCGCATTTGTGGCCGCGCGGTTCCAGGAGCTGATTTTTATAGTCTCTGAATCTTGGCCGTTGATGGGATTACACGGCACCAGGGGGCCAGTTGTTGGATGTGACCCCCACCTACTGGAATTCAGAGGATCTGGGTGGAGGATGCTCAGCCCCGATCTGAGTAGGCTTGGAGATCTTAGCCCTGGGACCCACTTGCCTTTGTTCCTCTGCCGGTACCTTCAGGTGTGCGGAGTAGTGGTGACTGGTCCTGGAAGTCTTCGGCACAAACCTTTGAAAACTCGGGATGCCCATCCACAAGGTGGCATTGACACTGTGGACTCTAATTCTGTGTTCGAATAGGTCACTCTCTCTACCTACAGAATATTATCACAAAACTTAGCCTACATACTTTCTGGGTGGGGGAAAAACCTCAAATTCTTGGAAAAGAATCAGTGCCATGAGTGCAGCATTCCAAGGCCACACCTCACAGGATTGGACCAAAGATGTTGTTTCTCACGCTCTCCCTTTTCAGCAGTCTACAGTGACAGGGACACAGGAGATTTGGAAGGACATTTCAGTCTAAGAACTACAGTCTAAGGTGCTGCTGTTTGGCGTTGTTTGGTTTTGGTCGTGCTGCTAGGGGTAGAGCCCACAGCCTCACGAATGCCAGGCAGGAGGCCAGGAAAACAGCTCAGCAGGCTGAGTGTTTGCTTTGTCAGATTCTTCCTCAAAAATTAAAAAAAAAAAAAAAGGGAGGGGCACAGCAATATTATAATTGACCTAGGTTTGGTCCTTGGCATTTCATATGGTTCCCCACCCCCAAGACCCACCAGGGGTGACCTCTGAGTGCAGAGTCAGGAGTAAGCCCTGAGCACAACTGGGAGTCACCCCAAAACCAAACCAAACCAAAAAACCCAAAGCAAATGTTCTACCACTAAGCATTATCTTGAGTCCCAAGACTATTTTGGGAGATGGGAAGCACCCAGCAGTGCTCTGTGCTCAGGGGTCACGCCTGGCCGGGGTCAGGGGACCAGATGCTGGGGATGGAATCCTGGTCAGCCCATCCAGGGCACCCACTGTGTTATCACGTGAGCCCCCAATACTCTATGTTTCTGTGAGGAATTTGACCCAATTTATTAATGTCAGAACAATTGTGAGACTATGTAAAACATACATAGCCTTATTGACAGGCAGCTGCTTTGGTTTGGTTATAGTCACTATCTTTTTTTTTTTCTTTTTGGGTCACACCCGGCAATGCACAGGGCTTATTCCTGGCTCTGAACTCAGGAATTACTCCTGGCGGTGCTCAGGGAACCATATGGGATGCTGGGAATCGAACTCGTGTCGGCCGCGTGCAAGGCAAATGCCCTACTCGCTGTGCTATCTCTCCAGCCCCAAATAGTCACTATCTTGAACCAAAGGAAACTTCCATTTTTGTCTTATTTGGAAGCCATACCCTGGGGTACTTAGGGGCTACTCCTGCCCTGCTCGGCATTTGGTGGGGTGGGGGGATTGCTCCTGGTCGTTCTTGGTGGGCCAGGCTGGGGATGGGCCCAGGTCTTCTACACATTTGACCCTCTGAGCTAGCTCTCTAGGTCGAAACTGGTCAAATTTTGACAGCATTGAGCCTTTCGTCTCTAGGCTGAGGAGATGTGAATTCAAAGATCTGGAGGATTTGAAATTCACCTCCAATTACAATTTTCCTTCTCTTCTTCCCTCCCTAGTCCAAATCCTCTTCCTCGTCTTGCTGCTGACCACGGTCTACTCTGCACAGAACCCTAACAGGTTTCATCTCCATCAAACTCTCCGGAAGAGCTTTTCTCACCGATTCTCCCAGATCAAACTCCTTAAACACTTCTACCCCTGGGCCCACCACACGCTCCTCCCTAACCTATATGGGGAGTACAGAGGTGAGAACTTGGGGTCGTGATAGTTTTCCCCAGCATCCTTCCCATGATGCTGGGAACACTGGAGAGAGGTTAGCTGCCTCCTTGAGGGAGCTGTCCACCATATGGGCCACACCCTGGACCCCGTCTCTGTCACTTTTTGTTTATGTCTGTCCACTTGAAGGGGATCAAACGTCTGTAAAAAAAGACTGAGAGGGGCTGGAGCGATAGCACAGCGGGTAGAGCATTTGTCTTGCATGCAGCCGACCTGGGTTCGATTCCCAACATCCCATATGGTCCCCTGAGCACCTCCAGGAGTAATTCCTGAGTGCAGAGCCAGGAGTAACCCCTGTGCATTGCCAGGTGTGACCCAAAAAGAAAAGAATGAGAATTCCTTTGTTTGATTTGAGGTCACACCTATTTGTGCTTTGGGGACCATTTGGGGTGCCAGAGATGGACTGGGTATCAGCTACATGCAAAACAAGTGCCTTGACCCCTATGCTCTCTCTCTCTGGCCCAAGAAGGAGAATTCTTTACTCCTGGGGTGGCCCCTCCAACTGGATGCCTGCCTGGGCAGCAGAACCCAGGGTAGCTAAAAAGGCTGTAGCTGGAACACAGGACCAGGCCCGTAGATCTCTGCCTGGAGGTGTTCGGACACTTGCGGAATGGTCTTTCCCCTGACGGCTCTCCAGCCTGTCCCACAAACGCACACTGAGCGCCTTCTGTGTTCAGGCTGGCCTAGGGGTTAACAGGAAAAAGGAGACCATCCAGCTTGTACCCTGAATGACCCCCATGCATTGAGCTGGGAGTGGCCTAAATAAAACACGATCCAATAAATTTCTCTTGCAATAACTTAAGCTTAAAAAATTTTTTTTCTATTAGCACTGCACTGCACTATCCCCCCTGTTGTTCATCGATTTGCTCGAGCAGGCACCAGTAATGTCTCATAACAAATTATGAGAGTTGTTGTTACTGTTTTTGGCATATCGAATGCATCAGGGGTAGCTTGACAGGCTTTGTCGTGGGGGCAAGATACTCTCAGTAGCTTGCCAGACTCTCCGAGAGGGGCAGAGGAATCAAATCCAGGTTGGCTGTGTGCAAGGCAAACGCCCTACCAGCTGTGCTATCGCTCCAGCCCTTTTTCTATAAAGCTTTTAAAATTTTTGACAAGTTTACTTTTTAAAATTTATTCTAGGCAGTGGAGATAGTATAGAAGATAGGGCACTTACCTTGCACGCAGCCACCCTGAGCCCCACCAGAGTTGATCCTTGAGTGTAGAGCCAGGAGTAAGCCCTGAGCACTTCTGGTTATGTCCCCCTCAAAAAATAAAATTCTTTCAGGGCCAGAGATTGTACAGGGGTTAAGGGAGTTTGTGTTGCATGTAGTTGACCTGAGTTCAATCTCCAAAAATTAATAAAATGTATTCCTGTTTTTTTTTTGTCTTGAACAGGATTTTTTGGTTAGTTTTGTTTGGGTCACACCTTATGGTGCTTAGGGCTTATTCCTGGCTCTGTGCTCAGGGATCACTCTTGGTGCTGGGGCCTGAACCCAGGTGAGCCTCAAGCAAGACAAGCTCCCCACCAACTGTACTATCACTCCATCCCCAGGAGCGTTTGCTTAGTGATTATCCTCTCTCTTGTTTGCATATGGGAATATATTAGAGTTTTGTTTATTTTGTAACCTGTCACTTGGCTCATCCATAGTTTCGTAGTTTTGTAGTGGGAACCTTCCGGGTTTTCTCAGTGTCTTCATATCGTCTGCAAATAGTGATAATCTCCCTTCTTTTCCTTTTCTTCCATATTATGGCCTAATTGCTCTAGATGAGACTGCTTATACTTTATTTGACAAAAATGGGGAGTGCAGCCAGCCTGGTCTTCTTTCTGATCCCCAGATTCGATCCCGGCAGCACTAGGTGTGACCCAGAAACCAAGAAAGAAATAATAGTGGCAAAAGTGTGCATGCTTTCTGGTGACCTAGTGAAGTTGCTTATTTATTTTGATTTGGGTCCAGCCCTGTCACCGCTGAGGGGCTATTCCCAGCTCTCTGCTAAGGGATGCTAAGAGGCTGCCACCGGGGGTGCTCGGGGCTCATGCGGCTTCAGGGGTTGAAGCAGAGTCCCCCCACAGGCGAAGCCTGCACTCAGCCCCTGAGTGCTCTCTCTGCCCTCCAAGTAGTTGCATCAGTTTCTTGTTCTCTCTCCTCAGGATTTGTTACGGACGGGAACGCCTTTCTTCTGGGCAATGTCCTACTTCGTCAGGTTTGCCTTCCTGGGGCTTCTATCCAAGAACAAGTGAGGCCATCGCATCCAGATCAGGAGGACACGGAGAACTACGGGGCGCACTGGGGGCCCCCAGACACGAACACCACAGACCCAGACAGCATCTGGCATTACCAGCCTCAGGAGCGGGCAGGGGGCTTCCCCAGCGCTGGCGAGCTGACCACTTCCTCAGGCGGTGGCTACGCGGTGCGGCTGGGGAGGAACGCCAGTGCAGCACTGCGGTGAGCCTGACTCCCGGGGCCCCGGGGGCGGGGAGGAGCTGGCTCTGACGGGCTGCATTTCTTCAGGGTTCTGCAGCATCTTGAACAGAGCCGCTGGCTGGACCAGTACACCAAAAGCCTCTTTGTGGAATTCGTGGTGTTCAGTGCGAATGTGAACCTGTTCTGTGCCGTCACCCTGATTCTGGAGGCCAACAGCGTGGGTACGGGAGACCCCTTTTCTCTCTATCTCAGAAGGCCCGGTTTCTTTCTCTGTTACCATGAAAATATAGAACAAAGACAGCCCACCCAACGATGATTTTGGTTTTCGGTTTGGGGGTCACGCCTACTCATGCCAGAGCCCAGGGCTTCCTCTCCTGTTCACTTACTCATTTTGCTGGAGCACATTCTCCAGAAACTCTGGGGGGATACAGAAGAACTAAATTTCTCAAAGGCTTCTACATTCAGGCTTCTGTTCTGTCATCACATTTGATTATTTGTTTGGGGGGCAGGGGTTGGCCACACCCAGCAGTGCTCGGGCTCACCCCTGACTCTGAACTCAGGGATCACTCCTGGCGGTGCTTGGGGAAACATATGCGGTGCCTGGAATCAAACTGAGTCAGCTGCGTGCAAGGCAAGGTCCCACCTGCTGTACTATCGATCCAGCCTCAGTCCATTTGTTTTTGGTATTTTTTTTTTGTACTTTCAAAAATCTCGCCCGCACGGCAAAGCCTGGCAAGCTACCCGTGATGTATTTGATATGCCAAAACACAGTAACAGTTGTCACAATGGAGACGTTATTGGGCCCGCTCGAGCAAATCGATGAACAACAGGAGGACAGTGACAGTGACAGTGACCTTCAAAAAAATAAAAAATACCCTGATGTGCCCAGGATGTAACTCAGTGGCAGAGCCTAGTTTGTTCAGGCCTTGGACTCGATTGCCACCACACATACAACACACTCACAACCTCTGAACAAAAATGCCTTGCTAATGTGTGAAAATTTATAATGAATTATAATTCACAGTCACTGTCCTCCTGTTGTTCATCAATTTGCTCGAGCGGGCCCAGTAACATTGTGAGACTTGTTATTGTGTTTGGCATATCGAATACGCCACGGGTAGCTTGCCAGGCTTTGCTGTGCGGGTGAGATACTCTCGGTAGCTTGATTTATAATTATTATTATTTTAAATTTATAAAAATTTAAAATAGGTCAAAATAAGAAAAAAATATAAGGGGCCAAAGAAAGAGCACAAGTAGGTAGGGCACTTGCCTTACACACAGCAAAACCAGGTTCAACCCCCACCTCCACCCCACCCCACCCCCGGCACCACATATGGCCTTGCCAAGTGATCCCTGAGCACTGCTGGGTGTGCCGAAAAGCAAACCAAGGATCATACAACAGCATCATGCGTCTGCTGATCTCTGCATTCATGCTGACACGGTGAGGTGGCACAGCAAATGGCGGGGACGTCAGTTGCTGCCGGAAGCAGGGTGAGCGAGCGGTCTCTTCTCAGGTTTTCATGAACGCAGCACATGTTCAACCGCACTGCACACACGCCCCCCATGACAGCCAGAGAAACTCTGGGGGCAGTGCTGGGACCCTAGCATGTTTGAAATCTGTGCTGACCAAGGGGGGTTCTTCTCAAACCCAGTTTTAAGGAAGAGGGCTCCAGTTTTAGGAACTCTTGACCGCAGATGTTCTTTGTTCTCAGGTACTTTCTCTGCCTCCGTGAGACTGGAAAGCTTAACGCCCCTCCCAGCGTCAAAGAAGGACCTTGCCTGGTTCATCATCCCACAAAGCATCTATTACTTGCTGATCTGTTACTATACCTTCATACAGGTGAGCTGAAAGCTGCATGTCAGAGTTGAGTCTAGGGGGTTGCCGGAGAGAATCTGGGGAGCATCACACTGAATCCTCAGAATGACTCAGACTTTGGCCAATTCCAGGCCTGAATTTACTTCCCGTCATCTCTCCGAGATTTCTGCAGTTTAAGAATTAAACCTGGGGCTGGGAGAACATGTCTAAAATGTCTGAAGCCCCCATTTTGGTTGTGAGTCTGCACACAGAACACCCCTGGCAGGGCTGCAGGTGGCCTCGGGGGTCCCGAGCCACACAGGATATGGAACTATTTAAAAAGAGGGGAGTCTGTGGAAATACTTTATGCATTGATTTATGGTAGTCCAGCTAAAATTATAGCAAAAGATTGAAAGGATCATGAGCCCAGTTATCAAAACCCAAATTACCTAAAAGCGTAATGTCCTAAATCAAATATTTTTATTTTCAAGCTTAATAACCAAATATTTTTATTTTCAAGCTTAATAAGTCTGTTTCTTCTCATTGCATAAAACTTAACAGTGTACCCATGAAAGATGTAATTTTAAAAAATTTTGTTGGAGGCACCTGTGATTCACAGAAAGTCATACTGAAGCTAACCTTCCTGTGAACACTCGCTGAGTGATGAGAGCCCAGAACGAAGACTGTGACCCATTGTGTCACATTTGATTTGCTAGGTGCCAGCCAAGTGCTTTGTGAATGTTCAAAGCACTTCATCAGGGGCTGGAGCAATAGTACAATGGGTGGGACACTTGCCCTTGCACACGGCTGACCCAGGGTCAGTCCCTGGCATCCCATATGGTCCCCCACGCACTGCCAGGAGCAATTCCTGAGTGCAGAGCCAGGAGTAACCCCTGAACATTGCGGGGGTATGACCCAAAAACCCAAACCCAAACAAAGCACTTCACCAAGGAGCCCTGGCAGGTCTTGCGGCCAGCAGCGGTACCACCAGCGGCTGTGGTGTCTGTCTAGGGTCGCCAGCTCAAACAGCAGAGGTGGAGATTTTTCACAAGAAAAAGCAACATTGTGGACCTGAGCGTGATCCTCCTAAGCTTTGTCACCCTGGGGCTTGACATGAGGCGGATTTCTCTTTATCAGAAAAGCCTGGCACAATACCGCTCGGACCCAGACAGGTAAGAGCCCGAGGGCCTGGGGTAGTCCCCCTAGGTGTCAGCTGACTGCACACAGGTGATCTTTGTGCCCGTCACATCCCCAAATCTCTGTGTAAAGCCAGTTAAATGGAACTCACATTGAAGTCCACTGCAGAGGAAACAATAAACTGAAACCATTTATATGTCTGTGTCGAAATGCTCTCCCAGCTTTAAAGCACATTTCAATTTCATGCTGCAAAGAGCAGGAATTGGGCATTAATTCTGCAACCTGGCCACGGGAAAAAGCCCAAAGCACAGCAGAAGCCCTGCAAGGCCTTTTGTATACGTAACGTATACAAAACCCCTTTAAAATAAAACCACGGGAGAGTTCCTCCTTTACACCCAAGGACAGCTGCCTTCTGGGGGTTGTGTGCAGGTGCGTCCATAGCAAGGCTCATTTCAGTGCCCAGGAATCACCATATGGTGCTTTTCTCACCTCTTCAGTGCTTTGCAACCTGACCGGCTCCTTGTGAGACTGTCCCCAGCCAGAGCCTGCAGGGAGGCCTTTGCAGGTCATTTTCAGGGACAGCAGGCTGTGCCATTTGGTGTCAGCAGTGGCTGCGGGGCAGCGAGCATCTAGGAATTACCATCAAGTGTCAACTGCTCGTAACTGTGGGGGTCCTTCCAACGAACTGAATGCTGCCATATAAAATTATGAACTCGGGCCGGAGAGCTAGTACAGTGGCAAAGGCGCTTGCCTTGCATGCTGCTGACCTGGGTTTGGTCCCTAGTAATTCCATATGGTCCCTTGGAGCACCACCAGAGCAATTCCTGAGCAGTCAGGAGTAACCTGAGTATCGTGACCCCTAAACAAAACTCTGAATGCAGCTCTCACGTAATAAAGCTTGCTTGGTGAAAACCACACCCCAGCTGTTTTTTTTTTTTGGGGGGGGTCACACCAGGTGATGCCTAGGGGTTACTCCTGGCTTTGCATTCAGGAATTACTCCCGGCAGTGCTCAGGAATTAAACCCAGGTCGGGCGCGTGCAAAGCAAACGCACCACCCTCCATCTCTTCCCTGTCTACTCTCAGCACTATGAAATCCCCTAGGTTAAGGTCCTGGTTATGGCTCCAGAACCATGTAGGATGTAACAGGAAACACGCCAAAGTAAGGAATTCCTCTCCTTTCGAGACCCTAAGCTCAAACCAGAAATCTCTGAGATGAAGTCAACCAAGGTCTTCCCATTTCAAGGTGTCCTCACAACTTGTCGACAGAACTGTAGTCTTTGGCCCAGACACCTGCGTTCATGTACTCACCAGCACTTCTCATGTCACCCAAGTCCTATTACAGAGTGGCTGAGCTCCCAGAACTGCATTGCTGGGTGTACAGTAGAAGGGGAAGCTGCCACTCCCAGGCCTGAGGGTGGCCTGTGGTTTGTTCAGTGGAGTGACTGTCACCTCCCGGCTACCTGCAGGTTCATCAGCTTCTATGAGACACTGAAGGTGAACTCGGCTGTCATCTACCTTGTGGGCTTCCTGGTTCTGCTGGCCACTATTCAGTTATGGAGCCTTCTGCATCGTGACCCCGCACTGCAGGTCATCGGCAGGTCACTGAGCAGAGCCTGGGATGAGGTGGTGGGCTTCCTGCTGGTCATCCTGATCCTGCTGACGGGCTATGCCATAGCCGTAAGCCCCCATCCCCTTACCTGTCCCCATTGCTGTCATCTGGCATCGACAGGTCCTGAGGGTGCAGACGTCAGCCCAGTTAGCAGGGAGTTTTGGAGAATGGGGAGAATAAAGCTGAGCTTCAATTCTGGTTCCGTAGGGAACTAGCGGCCCTGAGTTTCTTTAGAGATGAGGAAATCACCTCATCTTAAAGTGGGGTTTAACAGCTGACAGGATCATGTCAATGTCAAATAAACTGGTTAAAACACAAATTTTTTAAATTATTTTTAAGAGAGTTATTTTAGTGGCCAGGAAGGAATTTACATTTCTGTTCGTTGGTTCTGCTGGCTTCATCATCATTCAGCATGCAGGATAGAAAGAACCACAATCTATCTGATGGAGCTGTCTCCTTTCCAGTTTAACTTACTGTTTGGATGGACCATCTCCGACTACAGGACATTTTTCAGCTCAATTGTGGCTGTGGTTGGCCTCCTGATGGGAATCACTCAACATGAAAAGGTGAAGCCCCGGACTGCTTCCCTGCATCGTGTGTGGTGGGATGGAACTGCACCAGAACTGCTTACAAAGCAGCCTGACAGCTCTGGAGAATATCAACTCTGCAGACAGCGTTTTGATTGGTTCTTACTTCCAGGAAGCCGTCTAAATACTACCTTTACTTTTTCTTTTGGGCTACACTGGGCAATGCTTAGGGATTACTCCTGGCTCTGCACTCAGGAATTACTCCTGTCGGTTCTCAGTGATTGAACCCAGGTTGATTGCATGCAAGGCACCTTACCCACTGTATGACAGCTTCAATCCCTCATCTTTATATCTTATATCCTGTTTTACTGCTAAGGACACTGGGTCGACCTTGTACCCTCATACCTGATCAATTTATTTGCTGCTCCCCCCACCTTCAAGTGTACAGTGAAAGTGATATAAGGTGGTATTTGTAGTTAATACTCACTTCAGAAAGAGTATTAGTTACTAATACTCCTTCCTCCCTCCCCTCCCCATAGTAGACACCCATAGTAAACAACTATCATTGTTTGAGCTCAAAAGTGTCTCACTGTCTTTCCAGGTCATTGCTTTAGACCCAGTGTTGGGCTCATTTCTGATCCTCACCAGTGTCCTCTTGATGGTACTTGTGATCATTAACCTTTTTGTTTCTGCCATTCTAATGGCATTTGGAAAAGAAAGAAAGTTCCTTAAGGTAAGAAACTCTACCTTGGCAATTGAAATATGTATGTTACCATTTTTTAAAAAAATTTCACTGGGAAAGCCCAAATGTAACTGCTTTTAGGATCCCAGTCTAAATGCAGAGGAACAGCAGCACATTCAGTTCTTAGTCTCTCCAGCTCTGCCAACCATTTTCCTAGGAAACCCAATTTTCCAAGGCTCCATTATATTCTATACCCAATTATCTTTTAAGCAGCTGGCCCTTGTAGAAGCATTCTAACACCTAATAGTAAATTAAAGAAAATAGTATCTATTGATCACTTCTTTTTATTGAATTTTTATTGTCATTGTTTCTTCTTGAAGACTCAGAAAGCAGCTGCCCTCACAGACATCCTGCTACAGAAGCTCTCAAGTTTGTTAGGAATCCAGAGGCAGCAGAAGACACAGGCAAACAGCCAGACTAGCAGCGGGCACTGATGGACGTCTCCAAAGGTGAGCCATTGTAATGCCCTGCTTGACTCATTCTAGTCCATCTCATTACTCTGAATGTTTTTGTGTAGAAAAGTTACAGGTGTTTATGAGTTTTTACTGGTGAGAAATCAAGGTCCCCTTGGCTGCCAGTCCTATGTTTATGGGTCTTAGCACTGTTGGGAAAGGGTTACAGAATAACCAGCACCCACTAAGAGAACACTCCACACCCATGTTCCTGGATGGCCGTGGGAAACGAGAAATCACACGGAGCTGACTGCAGCTTATCAAAAAAGCAGTGCTCAAGGGTGAGCTCAACAAGCTGGAGTGCATGCAGGAGGCCCAGATTCTTTTCCTACTTCCATCTCCCGAAAAATAAAAATAGGCACAAATTTGATAATGGGGAGCCCTGGTCCAGAAGAAGAACCAAGCAAATTCCAGATCCGGCATAAACGGAGGCAGGGAGCCCAAGGTGCGATCTGGCTGTGCCCTGTGTGGTCACATGCTTGTAATACCCTCTTCTAAAATCCAAAATTGTACTTCATTGCTTAACCAAAGCAGTGGAGAAAGCAGAGTACAGAATCTTTAACTTTATTTTCAGCTACTGAGCTATGAGATACAAACCAATCAATAACATTAAAGAAAAGCTGCTTGAAAGAGGAATGTACAGAAACAATTAGAAAGAGGCCAACGTCCCATTCTGCATCGCACAGCCAGCCCCGCGGGGAAGGATGGCCTTCACTAGGGGCAAAGGAGCAGACACCCAGGAGAGCAGAGAACTACTGCAGCCACATGGGCACTAGAATCTGAATCGGAGATTAGTTTTAAAGGTTCTCTTAATCATCAAGTTTTCAAATGAAAACAGGAACCCCTCTTCTACAGGCTTTCCAGCTCATTACCCAAGAGACTTGAGTACTTCTATTAAGGCAACTGGAAGTCCACCTTGGCCTGGAATGGTGACGTCATTCTGCACAATGTGAGGCCAGTTCTTTGCCAGTACTGCCAGCCCACAGAACATGCTCTAGGGAAAACAAAAACAAAAACAAAACTAGTATTTTTTTATAGTGCTGACCTCTGGTAAAAGGGGACCAGCACTCAAAATAAAGCCAAAGGCCACAGAGGGCTCCCTGAGAATCCAGCAGAACTAAAAGAGGCTTTCAACTTTCCAAAAAAGCTTTGCGACTGGATCCAGGTGGAACAGTGCCCTGTAGCAAGGAGTAGTGTACATGCCAACGAGAGGACCCCGCTTCCGGAACTGTTAAAACAGCTTCCTAAGTCTTCTCTTTCTCATTCAGATTTGAGCGAGAAAATATCTGTAAACCTGGCCTTGTACTGAGGGGTCAGCGACGGCTAGAACACTTCGTGAAGTGTCTCCTCCACGCGCCCAGCCAGCGCTGGCAACTCTCCCACTCGCTCTCACCTCCTCTCTCTTCCCTGTGAAGGACGGTGGGATGAGTGAGAGAACTGGGATCACACTGACAGGACACTCTTCAGCTCAGAAAGTATCCAGTTGTTAGTCTCCTGTGAGCAGTAGAAAACTGGAAAGCAGCAGAATTTGGTAGAGCAGGAAGAGCCCAGAGAAGAGTGTGCTCCGTGATGGTTGGGAGATGAAACAGGGTCGTGTAGATTCTTTGTTACAAGGAGAAACTGCTCAGTCTCAACTCCCAGAACTTGTGATATTGCCGGGTTTTAAGTGTCTATGTTTTCTTCTTCAACTCTTCAAATCTCCGGGAAAGATCATCAAAGTCAATGTCCTCGGATGCTGAGGTGTTGGCCCCAGCTGACGCAGTTGGCAGGGTGTCTGGTACAGAGGGCAACTCCGGCAGCACGAAGTTATCGTAGGTATCCACGGGTCTAGGAGAGGGCTTTGCTTCTGGCTTTGGTCCGGGACCTAAGTAAATCAGGGCAAAAGGCAGTGTCAGAGATACCAGAGAACTGGTTCTGATGCTCAAAGCCCACAATTCTCTTGGCAGAAATAATACCTAATTCTAAAAGTCAAAATGTCGGGACAAATGGGCCGGAGTGATAGCACAGCGGGTAGGGCATGTGTCTTGCATGTGACCAACCTGCGTTCAATCTCCGGCATCCCATTTGGTGCCCCAAGCACAGCCAGGAGTAATTCCTGAGCGCAGAGCCAGGAGTAACCCCTGAGCATCGCTGGGTGCGACCCAAAAAACAAACAAAAAAAGAAACAACTTTTGGAGACGTAATAGTTTTACTGAAAGGGGTGATTACACACTATAATCACACTGCATTTATGTAATCATCATTTCCTTATACAACGTTGAGAAAAAATCCTGGGCAACAATAAATGAAACTATTTAAAAGCTGTTTTTATTGTGCTTGATTTCACTCTAACAATGTCCAAGAACCTAAGACATTAAGGATTTACTGATCAGCATGAAGATGTCCATAAATTGTCTCTGACTTTTTAAAAAGCAAACCCACTAGAGGTTTCGAGAATGCTGACAGTTTTTCACTTTTTGAGTGGATGGCTTTGTGCATATGCTTGCTTTGTGAAAAGTCACTGAACCGTTACTCAATTTCATTTGTGTCTATCCTCTTTACTGATACCATCAGTCAAGTTTAAACTCTGCAAAGGTAACAGAAAGGGAAGCAGTGTGCTGGGCATCTAATCCCCTCCCCTACTTCCCCCCTCAAGGGGAGCCCACCCCAGGCAGTGCTCTCCGAGCCAAGACCGCTGGCCCACCTGCTCATTGGACCTTTTTAACGCTACCATTAAAAAACTTCCTTTAATGGTATTTTCAGAAACAAAGGATCTGAGAGGGTGACTGAAAACATCATAATGAAGATGCTACTAATCCCAACACCCAGTGTTCTACTCACAGAACACCTGAGGGAGAAACAGTAATTGTAATTAAGTAGAGGGTTCAGCACCGAGTCATGAGGGTTTCTGGACTGGCACTTACCAACAATCTGTGCAGAAGAGACATTCTTATCAGCATTACTGTCATCAGCCTGGAACACAAAGATTGTTACCCACTGGAGAAAGGCGAGGCGTCACCAGAGAAAGCTCATCACCCAAAAGCTGAGCCGCTTGGCAGAAGCAGTAGAACCTGCTCCAAAGAAACTAGCCCTTCACCGCTTGGAACCTTCCTGACGTCAACCAGAAAAATACCAAGCTGAACTCTGGTGCCAAGCAAGGAAAAAGGCAATTCTCAGCACACCGTCACACCTTTCTTAGTCTGATGCCATCACCTTTCCAGACAGAAAGAAAGCACTAAGCCACTAAGAACTCATCTCCAAGAACAAGCCCTCAAATATCGATTACTATCTTCAACCTCATTCTAGAAATAGTTGTGGGCTGTGCCTCAATGCATGCAAGGCCAAAATACAATAACCTGACCCAAGGTAAAAGACAGAAAGGAAGAACTCCAAGTTTAGGAGAGGGAACCTCCCTAGGTGAATACTTTCTACAGCACATGCCACACCAGTTTGTTTTCTCATGAAATGCGTCAGAACAGGTGTCAAAAGCACACACCAATGGAGGAAACAGGCTGGCAGGAAAAAAACATCAAATTCTGAACCAAAACTCTTGCAAGCTTCCTATAGTTCAAGGAAGCCATCATTAACATATTAGCGAGTTACAGTAACTTTAAACACTGTGGGCTAAAACTGGTGGGTTAATATGGTATTCTAGAACCATCTCAATGTGTTTCTCTGCCTAGGGGTTTTGTTTTTAAATATCTCTTCTGAACTCTCTAAGAGCTCTGGCCTAACTGAAGACAAGCACTGCCACCAATGACACCACCACCCACTTCAGGGTAATGTTTCAGCAACATAAAAATCCAAAGCGAAAGCAGCATTGATATTAGTAGTTGATCAAAATTTTGCCTTCCCTGTCGTCATTATTTTGCTCTCTCTTCATGGGTTCACACTCCTTCTGCTTATAAAAGAGGCTCAGGCACTTACAGATTCATACGATGGGGGAGTTGCTGGTATCTGAGGTGGATGAATACTGGGATAAGTCCCCATTGGCAATCCATTGAAATCCGACTACAAAAGAGGAGAAAGACAGAATCAAGACTCTGTCTCCCGTTTCTAATTTCTGATATTTTGGGTATGGGAAGAGAAAAGTAAGATATGGTCAGCGTTTATCTTAATTTGGTGTGTGAGTGAGATTGAGCCCAAAGCCTCAGTCCCTTAATATATCAGACCTTTACATGTGATCAGAAGGGTTCCAGGTTTGGAAGGAAAAAAATTTGGTTTTGGGTCTTACCTAGTGGTGCTCACAGATCACGCCTCACAGGGCTTAGGGGACCGTATTTGTGCGAGGGAGCGATTTCAGGCCCTCCCCACCGAACTCTCACTCCAGCCCCAGATTTGGAAAAATTCTAACCCGATATTTGTACTACCAATGACCAAAAAAGAGGGTTTCCTACCAAATAAGTCATTCTTAGGCATTTTTGGAAAAAGCTTCTAGTATGCCCGCACCAGGTCCAAAAGGTAAGCATCAGGGCCTGGACATAAGATTTTTCTGAGTGCAATCTTTAGATTTTCTCACATCACCACCAATAGTTGAACCAAAAGATCTGTAAATCCTGTTACTTTTTCCCACAGCAAAAACAAGCATGCTGTGGGAAATGCTTATTGCTGAGTCATCGTAAAACCGACAGTTCCTCCATCTATTCACAGCACCGACTTGTACACCATAAGGATTGTCAGACTTACTGGTCCCTTGGGAAGTGGGTATGCGAAAGGCGCGCCTGGAGATGGCATGGGCATGGGCATGGGCATGGGCACTGGCACTGCTCCATCAGGCCCCACAACTGGTGCTGCAAATCCGCCCCCTCCGCCTCTTCCAGGGGCCCCTCCTTTCTTCACATCATCTGTGAATCCAACATCAATAAGATCTGTCTCCACCCCAGGAGGAGCTTCTGCCTGAGGAAAAAAAAAACCAAAACAACCCTGTCATTAACCCACCGTTCAGACTCTGAAATGGAGTTTCCTAGCGGGGTCTCGGAAGAAACTCCCGTGGGATGTGAGGGTAACGAGTGGAGGGGGTGGCCTGCAGGGCAGCCCCAACAGAGCCCGAGCAAATCCCCCCGAGAGCACTGGAGTGGGACTGGAGATGCAGCGGGCATCCTCCAAGAGGCAAAGACTTACACAGAGCAGCAACCAAACACAGGCGCCCCCAGGAGAGCCCTGTTCTTCAGAGAGCCACTGCTACAGGAACACTCGGCTGTGAGCCACGTGTCACCAATTTCAAGAGCTTCTGTTCCCAGGGGCACAGGCAGCCTGTGCAGCATGGTGGCAGCCCACTACTAACTGCAACCCCCATGTGCTGGAAGCCTCTTCAGGACACGACCACCACCCAGCGGTGTGGCCCCAGGAATCGAACCAGATGAAACTTATTTTTATGTAGCTCCGTATTCTTGACTTTCTGTGTACTGTCTGCTACCCAATAAATGTTCCCAGATCTAGTTTGGGACGTTTCATGCTATACACAGGCATCTCAATTCCTTCAATTTCATAAAAAAGAAGCAATAATGACACTTAATATTTGTATTAAGGCTTGTACATTTTCAGTGTTTCCATCTGAGACTTAAATACTCTAAAACGTGTACAACTATATATTGCTAACCAAAAAAGGCACTAAATGGACAAACGCTTAAACTCCCATGTGAGTTAGTGGAAATATGGTTATTTCCTCAAAGAAAGCTCTATCCAGAGGGGTTGATTTTTGTACTCTGAAGAACCCTGTACTCACCATGACCACAGAATCAGGCTCGTAGGGAACATTGTAGTTCTTGGCGATTTCGATCAGGTACCGTTCCACCAGGATTTTGGGTGGGGCTTCCACACTCAGTTTGTGCATCAGCTGTAAGCAAAGACCCAGGTTTAAGATGCATAACACGACACACGCCATAATCATGCCGCCAGACCCCGTGCCAGGTTATTTCATTTGGGGGCACCTCGGAGGGAGGCAGGTGAGACCCGTCCTGCCCCAAGGGAACCAGCCCCCAGAAGCCGAAAACCTCCAGAACGCAACTGCCACTATGCTCATGGCTGCTCTCCACATGCTCGGGTTGAGCCTCATCTATGAGTGAACCTATTTCTGGACCACGGCCGCACAAGGACAATTTATACCTTACACCACCCATACTCCAAGGGTACCACACCACATCTGATGGGGTTTAAAGTAAGAGGCAACCAATCTTAGAGGGAAATATTTTTTTCACAGATATATATATATATTATATGCACACAGGCTCACCCTTTAACATCATGTTAGTGATCTCATAGAAGGGTTTAATCACCCCAGGGTGAAAGACAACAATCTTCACACTCTTTCCTCTAAGGAAACTTTTTGGTAGCATTTTCAGTGGTTTTTCGTAACAAACAATACAAAAATAAATTATTTCGGTTCTGCTTCGGGGCAGGGGTTGGGGTTCAGGATGGAAACATCTGAAATATGGTGGTGGGAAAGTGTAATGGTGGTGGGACTGGTGTTCAACTATTAAATGTAATCAAGTATTGTGAACTACTATATAAAATAGAATAAAAAGATTGTTTCCCCCCTGCCCCCAAAAAAGATGCACACATACCAATCAGTCTAATCTTAACCTATCTTGCTTTTCAGCTTCCCCCCCCTCATTTTAAGCTATATTAAGGGGAAAATAAGACTCCTAGACCAGGGGCTGGAGTGATATAGTACAGCAGGTAGGGCATTTGCCTTGTACGCGGCTGACTCAGGTTCGATTCCCAGCATCCCATATGGTCCCCTGACCACTGTCAGGACTAATTCCTGAGTGCAAAGCCAGGAGTAACCCCTGAGCATTGGTGGGTGTTACCCAAAAAAAAGAAAAAGAAAAAAAAATTGATTCCTGGACCAGTTAAATAATTTTGGTCACAAAGCACACATTTTAAGTGCCATGTTTCTCTTACGTTCTCTGGCTACAAAGGGCCATGTAAAGACTCATTCTATCCTCCACATTTGCATCCTTCCACTCTTCTTCTTCCTACTTCACTTCAACCTCCACCGAGGCAGAGACATGGGGAGATGTAGCAAGAATGACACAGGACTTCACAATCGAAAATATCAGGCAGAGGTCAGGGGGTACTGCAACCCCAGCAAGCTTTCCTCTCCCCGTTTTGAACTCAAGCTCAGCCATACACTCGCTGCCCACTAGAAGCTCTGCGGGCAATAAAATGACCTCCTCCCCCCCACGCAGTTTTATGTTTTACAGGTACATTAATTACCCTGTCATTCACAGTGCCAATCTGGTTGGTTCTACATAACTTGCCATACTCCTTGCTATACTTGGCACACAGCTGATCAGCCACCTACAGAGAAAACAAAATACAGAAACCATTCAGACTGCTTCAAGTTTTATCTGATCAACAGTAAATGTGCTTTCATTATAGAATAGTTCAAGTCTGTAAAACTTTAGGGGGTACTCATCAGTCCATTATTCATCCACTTATATGCTGGACCGCAATAATTTCCAAGACTTTTATTAACTGTTATTACATATACACCATATACAACTACTAGAAACAGTCATTGTTCTACTCTTAACAGTGTTTTTAAGTTTCTGGGAAAAGTCATAATTCTCACAAGGGTACAAACACAGCTGTAATGAATTCCACCATCAATAACTTGTAACTGAACAGTCAGATCTGATAAAAAAAAGTCAGGTAAGGTTTCTAGAAAAAAGCAATGCCTTATCTAGCAGATTAAAAAAAAAGATAAGGATTTATTAGGAAAGAGGAGCATTACAGAAAAAGAAAACTGCATCTGTAAAGACCTCTGGTAGAAAATATGGTCAGAGTTCAAATGAAATCAGGGAGTCTCCAGTCCCCAGCCCCGGGAAGGGGAATGTGAGGTACTGAAGGAAGAAAGATACGGCACTTGGCTCAACACTGTACCCCAGTACCAACCTAGCTTCTAACAGCCACGTGAAAAAAAAGAAAAAAAAAGTGGAATGAATAAATGAAACACTTGTAACCTCAAATAAATGCTATTTTAACTTTACTATCGTTAGATATGCAAAATTTTTCTGTATGTATTTACAATAAAAATAATTAAGACCCCTGAGAACATACAGAACTTTGCTACTTAAAGCAAGTCCTCAAACTTATATTCCTCAAACCCTATATTCTTTGATTAACAGACTGAAAAAGAGGAAAAAACAAAATTTTAAGGCCAATTTTAATTGTGTGTTTTTTTTTTAAAGTGAGACACCATGAGGTACAGTTGCAGACTTACAAATTTTGTGCTTGAGTTTCAATTATACAATGATCAAATAACCATCCCTCCACCAGTGCCCATTTCCCACCACCACGGATCCCAATATCCCTCCCACCCCCATCCCCTCCACTCCACCCTGCCTCTGTGGCAGGGCATTCCCCTCTGTTCTCTCTCTCCTTTTGGGTGTTGTGGTTTGCAAAAGAGGCATTGAGTGGCAATCATTTGTGGTCTATAGTCTACTTTCAGCATGCTTCTCCCATCGTGGGAGGATCCTCCCAACACCCTTTATTTGGTGCTCCCTTCTCTATCTGAGCTCCCTTTTCCCCTAGCATGTGTGGCTGGTTAAGGCTAATTTTAAAGGCAACACAACATGCCTGGTCAAATAAGTTGAAATGTATAAAACAACCTTTCTAACAACACACTACAGGCATCACTGTAACTGGTTGTACTCACGATTTTCAACTCAGCCACTTCTGACTGGAGCCGAGGAGCAGCCCAGATCAACGTAGACACAGATTCCGCCAGGCCAGTATCCAGATCCCTGTTAAGGGCAGAGGGAGAATGAGACAGTCTTTAAAAGAATGAGTCAATAAAACCCTATCGCACATGTAGCTCCTAATAGTCTCTAAAACCAACTCACGAATCTCACTAATTCTACGCTTACTTTGCTTTCGGGGGTTCTCCACACGCCAAATCCTAGGTCCCAGAGTCCGAAAAGCCTCTTCCAGAGAAAGTGCCCACAGGGCCAGAGTACAGGCCCCACACCACATGGCCTCTGAAGACCACAGAGTTGCCAGCGGCTCTCCAGCACCAGAGGAAGCCCCCACCAAAAAGAAAGAAATAAAAAATAAATAATCCTCTAGATCGCTTCACTTTTCAGATTTTATATTTTCTTTTCAGTAACTGGACTCGTCGATTTGCTCGAGCGGGCCCAGTAACGTCTCCATTGGAGACTTTGTTGTTACTGTGTCTGGCATATCGACGATCAACGGGAGGGCCTTTACCTTTTACCTTTAACTGGACTCAGGCCACTAAGCAAATGGTAGCTTGAGTATGCTAACCTCCTACATGCAGGAAAAGATCAAGGACTCCATTCTCAAATTCCAGAGGGGATCTCGAAAATTCTTACTTCATTAAAGCAAGCTGTAAGAATACCATGGAAAGAGCTCAAAGGATCGAGTTCATGCTTTGTATATGGGAGGCCTGGGTCTGATCCCCTATAACACATGGTCCCCAAACACAGAGGAAGGAGTAGCCTTCAGGGAACAACACACCTTGTCCCCCTCCAAAAAACCCAGAGTAAAGCTATGCAAGATGGAAAAATTAAGCTCTAAAGGCGTGTTAACACTATGCTTACAGTTAACAATAAAATGTGTTGAGCTTAAACTGTTGTTTTGTTTTGTTTTTTTTAACCAAAAAGGGGGTTTGCTGTGAGGACACAAAGAAATATTCTGGAGGTGATGGATGTTATCTTGATTGCAGCAGTTGGTATAAAGGTGTAAGTATCTCAAACTTACCAAATAATCTATACACCGGTGGCTCTACTTTTGGCATCTGCAGACCCACAGCTGAAGACCACCGGCTTACATCAAATATGCAGTTTAAAAAATATAATTCTACCTCAAAGGCACTTTTAAAAGACAAAACAGGAGTGACAGTACACTGGGACAGTACAAGGGTATTTGTCTTGCTTGCAGCAGACCTGGGATTTGATCCCTGGCATCCCATATATGGTCCCGCAAGCACCACCAGGAGTGATCCCTAAGCAGAACTTTTAAGCCCTGAGGACGAATGAATATGGCCCGCAAACCAAAAATAGGCAAACAAATGAGAGGGCTCAGGTGGAACAGTATGTGTGTGTGTGTGTGTGTGTGTGTATATATATATATATATATATACACACACACATATATATATACACATATATATCTAGCATGTGCAAGGCCTTGAGTTTGATCTCCAGAACCATATAACACAGACACCCCCCCAAAAAATACCTACCACATCAATGTGGTCCTGACTGTTCCCAGCACCAAATCACCAGGGTCTCATCACCAGGCCAAATACCACTGTGTGTGGCCCCCCCACTTAAAAGAGAGATGAAACTCTTACTTCATAGACTGAATGAGGCCAAACCGAGCCAGCAGCAGATCACAGTACAGCTCCAGGATCTCCATGGCCTCCACCAGGTAGTCCTCCCGGATAATGTGCTCCACTCGGATCCGAGCTCGTTCATCCTTCCCAGCAGCGAGATAATCAGCAATTTCCTTCCGTGCTTTCTGGGCCAATTCAGCTAAAGCACAAATCCCACCAGTCACACAGGAGAAGGCAATACACTCGGCCCTGGCCTGCAGGCAGACGTCCCGACAACAGCAAGAAGTGGGTATTTCTACTACTGCTACTATACCCAGCTCAGCCCTTAGAAAGTCTAATCCACTATCACCTGACATACAATTTGTGAAGCCAGAAATTTCCACCTTAGTATGCACATCATCTATTCCACAGCAATTAAATATGTTCCTTTCCCTGCCCCATTCATTCAGTCCAACTAGCCACAAAGGATAGAAGAAACAGATTCAAAGTTTAAAGGATAAGAGATCCTCAAAACTTTAGAGTACTACTCTGAAAGAGAGTACTGGGGCTGCTAGAACTCAGTGACATATTTTGGGAAAGAAAACACAAGGCAATCATGCATTACTCACTTTTCTTTTTCTCCAACAGTTTAAGACGATTTATGACTAATCTCAAATTGACTCGTAGACGCTCAGCTTTAAATCCAGAGCCCAGCATGCTGTGCTAATCCTCCTGGGGAAAGACAAAAAGCACCAGGACTATTTTCAAGTTAAAATTAGTTCAGAGATGTAGAGCAGTTACAGGGTGGATTAGCTGAAACGATAAATCGGAGTCAAATTGGCAAGTGACATCTGATTCACATTTCTGGCTGTCGTGTAGAGAACTGACGGGGGATAACCACGAGAGCAGGACTAAGGACGTTGTTTCTATAGTCTAGACACGAGATGAAACAGCTCAGATGGGGGCAGCAATGGCAAGTGATAGGTGTGATCAGGTTCACCATGTAACACGCAGAGCTTGAAGAACACAGTGACTGATAAAATGAGTATGTGGTGCTCTAAAGTGCGACGAGTAAAGGGGGTTGGGAGATGCCTCTGGCTACAACGCCTCATTTGGAAGCACATGGATGAGTGTTCAATCCCTGGTGCATGTCCGCATGATTCCGTCGGCTCAGCTGTTTGCACCTGGCAGCTCTGCTGTCTAGAACCCCTCGTGTGTGGATTATCATGGGCTGCTCAGCGAGTACCAAGCTGAAAAGATGTCCAAGCACTGTGAGTGTGAGCCCAGCAAGTAAGCATACAAGCATACAGCTGCAGTGCAACTCTGGGGGTATGGTGCCACCAGCAGGTCAACCTGGACCTGCAGGGAAAAGTGCATCAACAGCCTGATGGTGCCTTCAGGCTTCTTGATACTCCAAAATTGCCACTGTGCCTCTGACCAAACCCCAACACCTTGGGGCCAAGTTTCCTGAGAAATTAAACAGTCAAAAGTTAGGTATTTGGGAGCCACACCCACAAACCACCTGCAGCTCGGCTATACAATCTCCTCTATTGGCCTTGCTTCAAGACCCATAAAGAAATCTCAAGAGATCAAAAACCGCAGTTCATCTCAGACCTGCGCAAGGCTGAACAGATCAGGGTAAATGGGACGGGAGTGGGATGGGGGGAGGCAGGTCAGCCTGGTGCTTGCACAAGCAGAGCCCCTGGCAACCGTGAGCTCCCTCAATCCAAAAATCGCCAGGCCTCTGGCCAGACTCCACTGTCTCAGGACGGACCTCCCCGAGACATCAACCTGTTGAAAATTCAGGTATGCAGGTTTTGTAACTGGAATCTTTAGCCTTTCTCTGAGTCGGGATGGGCTACCTCCCCTGACTTCCCAATATTCCTGGAATCACTGGCAGTCACCCCCACAAACCAACTCGAGCACCACCATGTAAGCTCTTCAGCCTTATTTCACTTCACTTAATCACTTAACTTCCCGTTAGTCGTCGATTTGCTCGAGCGGGCGCCAGTAACGTCTCCATTTGTCCCTGTCGCGTGCTAGTGTAGCCCAATGGCATCTGTTCGCTCCAGGAACGTGAAGGGCCTCAAACCGATTGTTCATGATCTTGATGAAGACGTCTGACCATCTGGTAGGTGGGCGGCCACACGGTCTTTTGACATCCCATGGAATCCAGTCGGTAACAGCTCTAGTCCAGCGATCGTCTTTAAATCTCATTACGTGACCAGCCCATCTGATTTTCGACACCTTGGCAAATGAGACAGCGTCCCTGATTCTTGATCGTCGACGGATGTCAGAACTCTGGATTCTTTCTCTCATTTGAGTGAAACGTGATATTCCAAGCATAGCTCTTTCTATTCTTCTTTGGGAGACCTGAATGGCGTTCTCATCTTGTTTGCGTAGGGCCCTGGTCTCTGAGGTATATGTTAATGCAGGAAGAACAGTGGAATCAAAGAGATGTGCCCGGAGTCGGAGGTTCTTCGTCCTCTTAGCTATTTCTTCGATGTTCTTGAAGGCGTTCCAAGCCACTCTCTTCCTCCTGCGCAGCTCGGGTGCCAGGTCATTTGTCATGTTGACCTCTCGACCTAGGTACACGTAGCTGTTGCATTCGGAGATGGTCATTCCATTGAGAGCGAATGGGGCGTCAGGAACGAGGCTGTTTCTCATAAACACTACTTCCACTACCCAGCCGTCGCCACACTCCAGGATGCTTTCCGGACCCGTGCGGCGGCTTTGCGGCCGCACGACACATCATAAGATACTAAATACCCATCTTCCGGAATTGTCGTACCATATTTGATAGGGTTCAAATATGGTAACACCTACAAGGGTGATTAGAGGTCGCCCCAAAAGCCTCTATCCCTCTGGGAAAGACTGGCAAGCTACCGAGAGTATTCCGCCCGCACGGAAGAGCCAGGCAAGCTATCCGCTGTGTATTCGATATGCCAAAACCAGTAACTACAACTGGTCTCATTCACCTGACCCTGAAGGCTTCACCGACATGGCAGCACTGAGAAGGATGAGAAAGGAGAAGCCGACAAAATCTCAAGGCTGACCTAGGCTGCCACAACGAAGGAAGACAAAAATGATCGTCTGTACTTTCAATGCACGTACGCTAGCATCAGATGCATCCATCGAGGATCTGATGGTACAAGCGCGCATGATCAAGTACGACATCATTGGTCTGACCGAGACAAGAAGGCACGAATCTCACCATGCCGTTTTCGACACTGGAGAAGAATTGTTCCTCGGAACATGCGATAAAAGAGGTGTTGGAGGCGTCGGTGTCCTTGTCAACACAAACTTGGCCAAGAGCATTGATTCATTCGAATGCCTAACAACCCGAATCGGACGTTTACATTTGAATAGATGTGGCTCACTGCCTGCAGTTTCTATCTTCGTTGTCTACGCACCAACATCTCATTATGATGAAAGAGAAATCGAGAAGTTCTACGTGGAGCTAGAGACGTTCTATAAAGAAGACCACACCTTCTACAAGATCACTGTGGGTGATTTTAATGCCAAGATAGGACCGAGAAGATCAGCTGAAGAACTTCACATCGGGACCCATGGCCTAGAATGAAACGAACAGGGTGAGAGACTGTCTGAGTTCATCATGTCGACCAAGACCATTCATGGTAACTCACAGTTCCAGAAGGCAGAATCTAAACGATGGACATGGGAGTCTCCCCGTGGACGATTCCACAACGAAATAGACCACATCATATTCAATCGATGGTTTTGCCTGACTGATGTCGCTGTTGTCCCAAAATTTCGAACGGGATCGGACCACCGTCTCCTTCGTGCAAAATTCTACTTCACAGAGCGGGGAGAAAGGGCTGCAAAGTTCAAAAAGAGAACTCCCAGAATGACCACCAACTGGGAACTCTTTGGTACTATTGCGGCAACATGGGAAGATGCCATTGTTGACAACATTGACGAGGAATACGATCAACTGGTTCAGCACCTCCATGAATGTGCGAGGAACGCCAAGAGAGAGATAGCCACAAAAAATCACCTATCTTCGAAAACTCTTGAGCTAATTCGCCAGCATGGTTTGGCGCATGCCTCAGGCAACCGCAAGCTAACATCCGAGCTTGCAAAGCAGTGCAGAGATGCGATCAAGCCTTATTTCACAGATCCATAAATGAATCTCAAAAGATATCAAAAGTTGCAGTTAATCTTGGACCGCACAAAACTGAACAGACAAGGGTAAATAGGAGGGGAATGAGTTAGCCTGGTGCCCACCCAAGCAGAGCCCCCAGCAGCCACTTGCTTCCACAATCCAAAATTACAGCCATGCCCCCCGCTGGACTCCACCATCTCAGGATGGACCTCACCGAGATATAATCTGCTGAAAATTCAGGTATGTGGGTTTTGTGACTGAACTCGCCAGGCTTTTTCAGGGTCAGGACAGACTACCTCTCCCCACCTCCCTGCACTTCCAGAAGCCTCAGTAGTCATGTCCGCACCCCAAAGCTGTCACCATAAGACGATGGATCATTGTATGACTGAAACCCAAGCTGGATTATTGTATGACTGAAACCCAATCAAAAACAGCTTTGTAATGGTCTAGTTCACGGGAATTCAATTTAAAAAAAATTAAAAAGTAATAGTAAAGTACAACCCTTGGTGAGCACCGGACCAAGTGTGTGAGCACCACAGATGTGTGTGATCCGTTCATCCCAGCAGCAACAGTGGGGGAACAGGTGGGGAAGAGGGGAGACAAAAAAAAAAAAAACACACCCAAAGGGACAGGCAGGTCTCTTAATTATTAAAAATAAATAAATAAATAAACAAACCCATATGGGTAGTGGTGGGAATTGAAGTATCAAAGTTAGAACCAAATTGAAAAGTATCCTCACCTCAACAATTCAAATCAAGTGCCAGCCTTCAGAAAAGAGTAGAATCACAGAAAAATAACTAAAAATTACCTTCCTACATGCCCAGGGTGAAAAGTTCAAGGGAATTAAACCTACTCCATAAAATCAACAACAACGAAAAATCTATTTACCAAGATTTCAACTAAGTAGTAGGCTCACAATCAACAAAACCTTAGGTTATATTTTGTGCACTGACAACTGCATTGTTTCAAGGCAGAACAATCTTTTGGTTAACTCCAGACAAACTTCTAAACACGTAATGGACAGCTGGAGCCCTTGCGTGTGGTTGATCATGTTCTAACCCCAGCACCACATATGGTCTTCTGAGCCCCACCAGGAGTGAACTTGAGTGTACAACCAGCAATAAGCCCTCAGCACAGCTGGGTACCGCCCCTCCTGCCCAAAAGTATGTAATGTATTAAGTGACAGACTCAGGATGTATTCCAGTGGTAGAGCAATATGCCTTGCATGCATGTGGCTCTGGCTTTAAGTTCCCAACACAAAAATTAAATAAACATAACCTAGATCTAACAAAGTAAACAAAAGATAATCTAAAGATATTCAAAGTGAGAAAGAATACTATATGTCTGCTTGGGCATTAAAAATTAATACAGAGGCTGGAGTGACAGAACAGCGGGTAGGGCATTTGCCTTGCATGAAGCCAACCCGGGTTTGATTCCCAGCATCCCATATGGTTCCTCAAGCACTGCCAGGAGTAATTCCTGAGTGTTCGAGCCAGGAGTAACCCCTGTGCATCACCAGGTGTGACCCAAAAAGAAAAAATAATAATAGTAATAATAATAATAATGCGAAGTACCAGAGGTATTTTTCCTTTTGTGAAATTATCTC